TATCTTGGCCAATTACTGTCCGATTTGGGAATTATATACCATTTTGGACTCGTAAGGATCAGTATTACCGTTAATCTAAATCCAAATCAACAAAAAAGCAAGGGGTAACATCAATTTTTATTTCGAACAATGAGGTTGGATCGAAAATCAAAACTTATTTAATAATTTCATTTGAATATTTCGGGTAAATAAATTTCGATTTTGGAATGTTATACCTTTTTGAATTTGTAGAAATCCTTACTTTCAAATGGCATTTAATCAGGTTTTTGACAAATTACGGTTCGTTTGTGATTTAAACTTTTTTGATGATTTTATGGATTATCTTGGCCAAATAATGTCCGATGGAATGTCAAAACATTTTGGACTCGTAAGGATTAGAACTATCGATTGGCATTAAAATAATCTAAATCTTAATTTTGACCAAAAATGAGAGAAAGCAGCCCTGGTCCAAAGATTTCCTGGAACATTCCCATCTGCATAAGCTCTATACAGTTTCCAACAAAAATGTACATTTTTTTTCTTTATTTATATAGATAGTTTATTTTACTTTCTGAGAAACATTTGCAGCTATACGTAATTGTCCAATATCGTGGAAACAATAGAACGTACAATGAAAAGTAAACGAAAATAGATGAAAAACTTTATAGCTTATTTAGATGATAAAATATAGTTGTTCTATATCGAATTGGCATTAAATTAGGCAACGATACATAAATACAAAATATGACATGAGGCGGACGATTGTGTCACATCCAACAACTTAGAGAACTATGCAGAGGTTTTGATCGTGTGGAATAATTTGAATGCCACGTAACGGAACTGATTGGAGCTTCATGCTCGAGCTTATATGTTAATAATTGTTGATGGCTATGTGTGTGTGTGTGTGTGTGTCAGTGTATCAGTGTGTGTTCGGGTGTATAGATACGGCCTTACAACTATACGGGAGGGTACAATATGCCAGACAGAATGCATTGGCGGGGTCTACTAAAGGGTTTCCGCTAGATACCCGCCTGTTCGAGTGTTGTTAGTTATGGGGCGTTTGGAATACGAAGAGACATATATATCAAATATTATATCAGCTACGACCTAAAGGTAATACCCTATTTAATGAAGTTAAACGGTATTTTATCTCAGGATCCTTGGGATTGGTGTGGTGTGCGTCTTGTGTGGTTGCGTCTGTGTTTTATCTCATACTCGTTATATGCTATTTATGCGGAGTAGTTGTAAGTATTCATTTTAGGCGCTCGGAATTAGCGTGCACAGTTTGGGCCATTGATCTATTGGTCCATTACCTCCTGGCTGGTGTCGTCCACCTCCATGGCGGCCGGTTCATCCTTGGTAACTTCATCGGTGGCCATATCGCCAGTAGCAACGCCGCCTTCGGCCATAACGACCTCCTCCACGCCTGCGTTGGGCGATACTTGTGCGTCCTCCTCCTCGGCTGGTGTGTCCTCCATGGGCTGATCATTCAGCGTTAATGCGGGCGTTGCGCTGACTGCAAAACTCTCCACTTCGGCTGCCGGCGTGGCATCTGCCGCAGTCGGCGACTGTGGCGTAGCCAACTCATCGGTCTCGATGGGCGATGCAGCTCCATCTGCATCGGAGGTTTTAGCTAGAGCAGCAGATGCTGGTGCAGGCTTTGTCAGCTCCTCCTTGCCACCCACAGCTGGAGCCGTGGCTGTTGCAGCCGGCTCAGCTGCTGCTGCCTCAGTCTCAGTCTTTTCAGTGTTGCTACCTTTGGCAGCTGCCTTGGGCTCCAGCTGGGTGTTAGTCTTGGCCTCAGCATCAGACGCATTGGCCTCCGTTGCCGCATCCTTGTCAGATGTAGGTTTGTCTACAACAGCTGCCGAGTCACTGGCTTTTTCGGGCGAAGCTGTTTTTCCTGGTTTCTTCGCATTTTCAGCTGCCTTTGGCTTGGGCTTCTCATTCGTAGGCTCTTTCTTCTCCTTGGCAGCATCGACATCGGCTTCTTCGATCTTCTTCTCTGTTTCTGCCTCTTTTGCAGGCTTGTCCACCTTTTCTGCACTCTCCAACTCCTGCTTTTCAACAATTTTCGATGGCTTTTCTTGCTCATCGGCATCGGTCAGCGGATCTTTGTCCTGACTTTCAGCAACTGTATCCTTTACGGCTTCTGCAGAGTCGCTGTCCGCCTCGTCGGGCTCTGCCACCGTTGAAGTGTCGGCGGTGGTCTCTGGTGTCTCTTTCAGCTCTTTGTCACTATTGAATGACTTTTTGGCCTTTGGCTCTGAAACCTCCTCCTCCTCTTCATCGGGCTCCTCGATTTCGGGCACCTCACGAACGGCATCAGTCTCCTCGGCCTTTTCATCTGCGCCATCTACAGCATCGGCAGTTTCTGCGCTGGATTGATCCGCTTTGGGCTTGCTCTTGATGACGTCCTCCTCATCCGCATCCTCGGCATTAGCCTCCTCGGGCTGATCATTCTCATCGAGATCGAGCTTGGCCTTTTTGGCCTTCGGCTGAACAGCAACGTCGTCGGTGCGTGGGCAGCTGGCCTTAAGGGCACCGCTAGTGTTGTCCTCGGTGCTGCCGTTGCGCTCGTCCCCGTTGTTGAACATGTTCTCGTTCTCCATTTCGATGTCAATGTTAACCTCCAGGGAGAGATCCCCATTGCCCACTGAGTCCAGCGAATCACCGTTCTCACTCTCGGTTCGCTTACGTCCCGGATCGATGGTGCTAACCACTAAATGTCCATTGGGAGTTTAAACTGGGTTAGTCAGGGATAAAGCTGTGACCTGACAACTACTTACCAAGTATATTCTTCTCGAGAGCACGCATGAACTTATCAATACGCGAGTATTGCTTGCGAGGATCAATTAGAAGCTCGCAGAGGCGCTGCACGGTAAAAGGCGCCGCATTAAACAGATCGAGACGCTCCAGCAGCGAGGACTTCATCGTCTCATAATTGAAGGGATCCACATTCGGGTAGTTGGGTATCTCTGTGGGGAAAAGACAACGTTCAAATTGAGGGAAAGGGCGAATAATCCCTACTTACCCTCCAGTCGCTGAGTATCCTCGTTAAAATGCTTGATCACGTTGAGCAGCTTCTCGCGGAAGAGATACTTGAGGCTGGACCACTTGAAGATGGTGTCGCCTGTTTTGGCCACATACTGCAAATACTCCTCCAGCTCCTGGGGTATCTCCTTCTGTTTAAGCTGTGTGAAACGCTCCAGAATTTGTAGAATCTCCTCGCTATTCTCCATGGTAACCATTGATCCTCGTTCGAAGCTTTAGCGTGAAAGAAACTCTGCAAAAGATGCTAAGACAAGGAGGAGATTTGCACTTGTGAATAAACCGGCCGGTCAACAAAAAATAATACCAAAAAAAAACTCTTTGGCTGAAAAATTTTTTCGCTGCGTGGTAGACACACAAAACCGAAAGGAAAACTGCAACTATTGCCGACTTCGCTATTTATGTGTGAGTAGTGTGTGTGAGTATATATGTGTGTGTGTGTGAGTGTGTATGGCAGGTATGCGCCGAATCAGCGACACTGGCGGACAGCAGACGCCCGCTCGTTCCTTCGGCTGCCAGTTACGAGCTGCGGCCACGGTTGCCACATGTACGAAAACCGGGTGGTACACTGGACATTTTTGATACATTTTGAAAATTTTCAAAATCTATTAATGATAAATACCTATGCACATACAATATTAAGTAAATAGCATATTCCTACGAAAATTAAATGTTTGTGATACAATTCGTTTTTATCATGTGGCAACCGTGGCTAGAACTTCGGGTATGCAGCTCCCTCGTAGCTGAGAAGCTGCAAATCTGCATTGCCGGTTGGCCCAGGCAGTCGCGGGCAGAGAGGGACTGCTGCACAGACACACACTTACACACAAGCACAGACGCTTGGCAACGACGAGTTGAAACTACAAATTGAGAGCAATTCAAATGAGCGCCGAACGGTGTCTATAAGTTCATCTGGCGAATGGTGGAGGATTCCTTGCAGATTTGCACAGAAAAACTAGTTATTTCGCCAGCCAACACATACGTACATGCATGCGTGCATGCATGTGTGTGTGTGTTCCGACTGCGGCTCTCGCGCAAAAAGCAACTTAACCGTTGCAGCTGCAAAAGGCTTACATAGACAACTATATATATACTTATACATTTACATGGCCCAGACGAACAGACAGCCTTACAAATCTTAGTAAAATGTTGGCTTTGTCCAGTTTTCGGTACTCGCGACGACATTCCGTTTGTTATATGCCGTACGTCAATACATTGCCCACATTTAGTTAATAATAAATTGTTGACAACGCACTTATAGTTTTACCTGCAATTGCTGCTGCGGCTACTTGAGCACTATCACAATTATGCTTTGCTCTGGATAGCAGTTAAACGTATTTATTTATTTTGCACCGCCTAATACCGTGTAAGCCGCAGCTGCACTATCGATAGTGCGCACAATAAAAACGACCAGTCTATTAGCTTAACATTCGATAAATCGATTACGATGTTTCATCTCGATATTGTGCACTGTTGCAAAGACGTGCGTCAAATTAGCGGCGGTATCATAGCGTCGATTTTTGGTACTTGGTATCGGAGACGGAATCATTCACTTTGAAATTCATTTATTTAAGTTTTAAGCACAAATTATTGCTACCTTTTTATTTTAATACTGTATATAAATACCTAAATGCACTGTTGCCTTATTTAGCAGCATTATATTTTACCAAAGATAGTATTTTATTTTAAAGTGCCAATAATTTAAAGACTTCATATTTTTCATAAAAACAAATAATTTGAACTATGTTTTGCTACTCTTCGCATCGGTTCGATATTTTCGATAACAGCCGTTCAATTTGTATGCGATTTTTGATTGCATTTTGTTTTATGTTTTTGTTGATGCGCACGCAGCGTACACATCGGCATTGAGTCGGCATTTTATTGATTACATATGGCAAATTGGCGCTTGGCACGCTACGCCGGCCCCCAACCCAAGGACAAAACCGACCCCCATATGGACAGGCGACATTAACTTGCTTTTTTTTTTGTTACTTTGTTTTGTTTTGTGTGTTTGACAATTCAAGACCAAAACGACGGTTGAGCCGTTCAAATTGTGTTTGTTTTGAGTTGTCCCGGCCATTCACTCAGCGCCGTGCCTGTGTAGAAGCCGCAGCTATCGTGTGTGTGACTAACCAAATTACAGCATTAGCATAATCAATTCATTAACCATACTCAAATACCAGCAGTAATTATTAGTATTAGCAATATGTCGACTGCAGTTAATGGTGGGGAAGCCGCCGCCGCCGGCCGCTGCGAAACCGATCGCATTTCCGCCCTTGAGCTGCAATCGAATAAAAAGATGTTATACTTCAGCGATGGCGTCATGGAGGAGCTCTCGTCCAGCGATAGCGATATTGAGCCGGACGTGCCCGATAAGGCATACGATGTCCAACTGCAGGTATGCCATGCAAAAAATAATTGAGTAAAATTTGCTAATCTGTATGCATTTCCAATTTGTGACTCATTTGACAGCGCGAATTGCCCCTGGGACCGCGCCTACGTTACAAGGCCACCAAGGTGGGCAACAATATATTGGCCGGCATCGATTACGTTGGCGGCGGCCTGGCCTCATTCCTGGGCATAACAAACTCGAAATATGCCAGCGAACTAAAATACCATCAGCGTGCCAAAGAGCAAGCCGATGCCGAGGCCGCTGCCGACGAGGACCTTGACAATTGGCAAACGCAGGCGAACAACAACAATTCCAGCGATACCGTTGTGGTCTGCGCGCCCGCTCGTCGAGACGAGGAGGCGTTGCCACCCAGTCGGATATAATAATTAATCGAGCAATGAACTCGACAGTAAAAATACAAGAGAAAATGCCATAAAGAAAATGCTCATCAGGTAAAATTATAAACATTTTATAGACTATGTACATACAAATATGTATTAAAAATCAAATCATTTTCGACACTTTATTCGCTATTAATAAGTTTCAAAATACAAATTACATATATATAAACAATTTGTAATGCATTGTTTTATTAGACAAAAAAAAAAAAAAAGGGGACAGCACAATCAAATTTGGCCAAATATATATAAGAAAAATATAACTACATATATATATTAAGTGTATAGCAATTGTGTATATAGAGCTCTCTTAACAAATATATTTGCATAGGCCACACATACATATATAATTCTAAATATGCTAAGTACTTGGAAGTTTCAGTTTTTAAGTATTTTCTTAAGCTAATGGCACATTGAATACAATTACAATTTATGTTTAGAATTCCGTTCTAAGTTAAGTACACTTTCGGTTCGCAAAATGCGTTTTTCAATCGAATTGCATTGGGTTTTTGTTGAATTGTTCAAATCTTTTGAAAAATGAATCACAGTATCACAGTATTTCTTGCTGCGTAAACAAACAAAAATGTAGAAAAAAACAATTCACACATATATATATATATATATAAGAAGCCAGATAAAAAAATATATGTGGGGCAAGCATTTAGTCGATTGTACTTTGGTTACGCCGACAGCAGCGCTAAATCTTAATAATAATAATATACTAAAATAACTGATTATTACACATGCATAAAAGTGCCTTGAAATAGTTTTGTTATAGAAAAATAAATGCTCAAAAAAAACATATATGTACATAAATTTTGCTGTGCTTATTTTCACCAAGGTTGCCAGCTGGGTTTTTGGGGTTTTGGCTCAAAATGCAATTTTTTACACTTTATACAAATATTATTACACTATCTTTTTAATTTCTGTAATTGCACTCATGATAATCAAAAGATTGAATAATAAAAAGTTAAATTGTTTCGTGAAAAATGTGAAAACGCAAGTCCAAAACCGAAACATGGGTTCATGGATGTGAAAAGCAAGGTTGCACGAGCCTAACCTTAAACGCAGCAAAGCGTTGATTCGAACCGCGAACCTTGTTTTTCATTTCCATGAAAACAGGTTTTACGTATGCAGCCATATTAGGTACTATATATGTGACTTTGAGTTCTTTTAACTTATTTCATGGCACCCCACACAAAACACAACGGACACACAACACAAATGTTAAAATAGTAAGTAAACACACACACACACACACGCACACACACATTATTTTAAACTAATACAGTTACAGAAATACGTTTAAGTGGGGTTCCCAAAAGTCAGCGCCTGTAAATCATATGCCTAGTAGTGCGCTTTAGTAATAATATAAAAAAAAAACAAACAGAATAAAATCATCATATTAATACTCATGTGCACAAGGTACACACAGCGATGATATGGGTTTTGTGTTTTGGATCGTTGCTAAAAAATTGGAGCGCTTTGCTAAGCTGAGGCGAAGTTTATGCACATGGATAGCTGAACTTTAGGGATTTGCCGGGTTTTACATTCGTTTCATTGTAGCCCTGAGGCTCGGGATATGTCCTTTGGAACGACAGGCATAGGTCCCTGACCTAACCTCAATATGAATAGCATCTGCATAAAATTGCAGACTTCGTTTTCTCACAGTTACCTAATACCGTGGGCAAACCTCTAGGAAAAAAAAACGGATTATGATTTTAAAATTAAATTATGAACCCCAAAATGATGCTGCCGAGTAGTGCATAAATCAATTGCAATTTTCTAAACGCATTAAGAGCTAAACTAGGATAGGATCTATATGCTGACCTTGGCAGGAACGTTCTGTTAAATAGCCGCAGCTATTGGCAATTCATTTCGTGCGGCATCAGACTTGAAGAACTCGTCTCTGTAGAAACCATGTCAACTGGAGGTGAACGAAAGCGAAAACAAAATTAAAGAACGACCAGGGATATGGAACAGTTGCAAACATACCCTCACAGCAGCGTCTCGTTGCCATAGCGCTGCAGCTGCGGATAGTGGGAATAGTTGGCATGATGGCCATGATGATGCTTCTGTGGCGTCGCATAGTAGAGGCGATGTGTGGAGTGCGCCGTCGGCGTTTGCTGTACGCTGCGGCCCAGCGAATAATTGGACATTTGGTTAAGCGAAATGGAGCCGGCGCCCGTTTGCGTCTTGTGCTTGTAGGGGCTGCCAATGAGCGGCGGTGCGCTGACCAACGACTGATGCGAGGGACGCACCGAATGATAGGAGACTACAGTGCTGCTGCATGCAATATGCGAGCCGCGCGAGCTGCTCTGCCCGTCGAGCGCTGGCTGATGATGATGGTGCTGGGCGTGCGGCTGTTGCAGCTGTTGCTGTTGATGTGGATGGTGGGCACGTTCCACGCCCGCGGCCTGCTTGTGCGGACGCATGGACAGCTGGCGCTTGTACATACTGGATATGCTGGGACCCAGCACCCAGGCGAAACAGCAAATGCCCAGCATAAGCTCCATGAAAGCACGCGTTAAATACGGCCAAAGCGGCGTGCTCGTCTCCCGTTGACTTAGCCAGACATCAATGTTGGCAAACTCATAGATGACCGCAAGCAGCAGCAGGGCACAGGCGGCGCCATAGATAAACAAAAAGATGCCAATGCCAGAGCTGTTGTGCACACCCAGCTGCAGTTGCTGTTGTAGGCTTAACGCGTTGCTGTTGCGCAAGATCTCCTTGTTGCGGCAGTGCACCAAATAGCCAGAGATTAGATTCATCGAGCCAAAGATCCAATAGCAAAAGACGGGCGTGGCGACCAGCACCTGCAGCGCCTTATCCGATTGATTGCCCACAAAGCAAGCGCCTGAAAAAGTGTCGCAATTAATTGGAATTCCATGGAAATGCATAAAACACGCAACATACCCAACAGCTCGTCCGCATCCACGAGGCGCATTACAATTACCGCTGCCGTTTGAAACGCCGGCAATCCCCAGGCCACAAAGCAAACAAAATTATTGCGCGCCAAATCCTGCTGGGCGGTGCTGCCGCCATGGCGTTTGGCGGGCAGAGCTATGTGACCTTTGGTGTCCGGACTATTGCGGCGTATATCGCGATGCCAGCCCAGGCATAAAATGGCCCACCTGAAACACACACACACACAAACATATCATAGCAATGATAACATTAATAACACAAGCAACTATTAACGGGGCATTGACCGTTGCGGCCTTTTTTCGTTTTCCACCCATCTTTCAGCCTTGTGGGTGGACTGGACACTGAAAACCGATTGATTAATTTTTTGCGAAACAAAAATAAGTTGTACTCTACAGCTATGTACCTATTTTCCTAACTCCATAGTTAATTTAAAAAACTACTGTGAAATATATATTGTGCTTCATAATTCTCAACTATTTAGTTTTTCAGATAGATAAGACATACAGAACAATATCTTATTAAACTTATTTGTTCATTTCGTTGTTAGAATGAACTCTATTCACTTTATTTTGAAATGGTGCACTTTTCGAGATTTGATCAAATTGTGATTTGTGGGTTTAAATATAAAACATAAAATAATTGCCTAACCATTTATGTCATATTTAAAACGTGTTGTCATATTGGTATCTTTTCTATTATAATATTCATGTAAACGACACAAACGTTAATTAGTTACAAAATAGATATTGTCATGTCGTTATTTTGTTAACTTATTGTGCCTTTTATTTTAACAGCCACTGATAAAGTGGTTCGATTTATTTACATGTCGTCGTAAGGTAATCCTCATGTTAAAAGTCTAAGCACAAATTTGTTTTCTTTGAATAAATGGACGGTAAATTAGAAATTTCATTTATGGTTTTGACATTTGCACTTTCAAATTAGCTGAATAACTGACAAGAGCGCACAATGACGGATCGGTTAGTGTTAATTTTGTTGCTGTTTCATGCAACATATGTGAGAGCGAGATAAAAGACAGCGATGCCGTTCTATCACATAAATCATGTGTATTTCTTACTCTCTTGCTCTCTGAGCAAGTGAGCGAGTCTCGGAACCGAACCCAAAAACGAAGTCGAGTTTGGACCAGATGTCACAAATTTGTATGTCCAGGTAATACACAATAATTATATATACCAAAGCACGCGTAAACTTCTATGAAAGAATATGTCACTTAACGTATATTAAATATGGCTTAAAACAATAAGGATTGTATGGCAATTTTGACATGATTCGAATGACAGAAGTAGACCTCTCTGGAGCCAAAAAAAGTATATTGAGGATCGGTATCAACCCTCAGTCCGTCTGTCTATTTCTAGTTTCTGTTTCCGAACTATCTTCATTAAACTCTGCATAGGTCCGTTCGGATCGGTTCGGATAACTAAATCATATAGTTGTTGTTGGTCGCAGCCTAAGCTCAGGTATGGAATATTAGAAAATCTTGACCGAATCCAGCAATCCTAACCGTAGGACATATGTTTATAAGGGTATTTTGTCTTTGACCCTAGAATGATCCATATGTAGATTTTCGGATAGAAGACTCTTTGAACTAGTTCACAAATAAGTTCCGCTAGTATTTCCGGCAGTTAAGAGGGAAGTATGGTGACTTACCAGGCGCAGGCAGCCATGCCAAAGTAGTAGCGCAATAGGAAGACGCTCGCACAGGCTGCGTTGGAGAGACCATCGACACTCAGCAGAGATTCGTTGGGCGCCTGGGGATCTGTGCCGCAGGCGGTGCCCGTGCGTCCGACAATGAAACGCACCGTCCACCCGATGGTGACCATGTTGTGGCACCAGAGCAGCGGCGACAATAGACGCGACCATTTGGCGCCGGCATTTCGTCCACGATTATCGCCGCCGAGCAGCACCAGGCAGAGAGTGGCCACACAGGCGAGTCCCAGGCCAGCATACGCCCAGGTGGATACCCAGATCTCGGACAGATGTTTCTCGCTGGGCGTGAACAGTATGTCTGCTTCGCAGAGTGGCGCACAGCGTCCGGAACGATGCAGTTTCACATACAAATGGGATTTGGCCAGCGTCGAGCAGTCCAGCGGCAGTGGTGCGCCCACTTTAAGGCCGGGCAACTGCTGGCCATAAAGTTCATGATCCTGCATGGCCAGATGCGTTTCGCCCGGCCCCTCCATGCACATGGTCTCGTGATTGTTCTCGCGCGGAAAACGATCGCAGTCAAGCGCAGGCGGCCAGGGAAAGCCGAAACCCTGCAGCACTGGATGGCAGCGTATGCGCACAGATTCGCACAGACTGCGGCAGGGCCCAATCGAATGCACCGGCGCCTTGGGCGTGCACATGGGCACATAGGCGGCGCAAAGGAAAAGCTTTAGCTGGGAACTGCAATCGTATTCGATGAGCGGCGCAAACGTTTGCAGCGTATACTCCACATCCGTTTGCAGCTCATGACCGACCAGGTTGGGCATGGAGGTCTCATTGTAGCCAATGCCGCGGCACATCTCGATGCGTATCGGTTCGCATTGACGGAAGATGATTTCGGGCGGGGCGTGGCTGCTGCTGCTGATGATGCCGCTGCCCGTGCTGCTGCCACCGATTGCAGCAGGCGCAAGCAGCAGCAATGTTGCCAGCATCCATTTTGCGTTCATCCTGATTCAAGTTGTTGCTGCTGTTTTTGTGCTTGTTGTTCAGTTGCTTTGCATAGTGCCTCCCGCCCCTCTTCAAAGAGAACTGGTTCCACGCGCTCGCGTTCGCTCGCACTCGCACTCGCACACTTAATGCTATCTCTTTTGCGCAGCTCATGCGTCGCAGCCGCAGCCGCTGCCACCGCCCGCCCGCCTATCTGGCCCCTGGACTCCCCTTGTCAACTCGTTAACTACCTTGGCGTCGTTCTTGTTATCGTGCCGTCGCCGTCGCCGTCGACGTCGGTGCTGCAAACTAGTTTGGTGTTCTTGTTCTTTCACAATTGGTATGCAGATTATCTTTTGCCCAATTACAATTTTACACTTCTTTCCTGTTGCCTGTTGCTTGTTGCCTTTTGCTGCTGCACAGTTTTGCACTTGTTTATGATTTTTTCAATTTTGGGTTTGTTTGTTTACTTAAGGCACAGCACTAGTTAAAAATATCTATATTTATTTATGTTTGCAGCTCGTCACATCGTTTGTATTTGGCAAAGTTGATTTTCAACATTAAAATTGCCAGCAGAAATCTGTTCTCGAGCTCACTAGTTGAATGTTTACTACTTTGGCTTCATTCAAACCAAGAAATTAAGACTTGTAAATATTGCGTTGAATCGTTTGGTAGAACATGTAGATGTTCTTATCGATAGCAGACGGCTTATGGACTGTGGCGGCACGACGATAGCTTTGCTGCTATTGTGTATGTTAACAGTGTTGGTTAGCAGCAAACAGCCGATAACATCCACAATAAGCAAATAGCCTAAATGGCGCAATTATGCAAAAAGCGGGTAAACGAGAGCCGTTTGTTTTGTGTTTTTATTGAATTTAATAGAATTATTAACTGGTATATATGTAGATAGCAACAAGTAACAGAAATTGCACTTTCATTTTATCAACGCTATACCAAAAACAATTTTTTCTAACGATTCACAACAATATACGTTCAAAATTTTTACAATTTTTCTTTAACAATATCGTTATTCTGTACACACCACTACAAGAGCGCAATGCATATGTATTGAATTTCAACACACAAGCACGCATACTATTTCTCTCTCTCTTGCGATTTTGTATTTGTCGTAACTCTTCAAGACATATGCTCTCTTGCTTGCTTTATGATTGGCCTGATTGCAGTTATGTCTCAAATTTGTTTGTTTTTGTCCGATATAGGGCTATATAATGCTCGCCATTTTGTTATGTTGCATTTATCCAGCCATATATCGATTGTGTGCAGACATTGTTAACCGCTTTTTGTATATTTATAATATATGTATGTATATATATAATTGTATAGGTAGTTATAGATAATTGTTTGTTTTTAAGATATTACAAATACTTTACATTATTTAATTAGTGCGAGTAACAATTACAATAAAATCGAGAAAACAAGCACAATCTGCTCAAAATATGAAATAGTTTAGGTATTTTGCGTATGTATGTATATATAAATATATGTATATAAGTCAGCATATGTATGTATATGAATATGTATGTAAGTATGCCATGAGGATTGACAACGATTTAACAAAAAGAATATCAGCGATAACAAGGAAAATCTTCGGCCAACCGAAGCATAACGCTGCCTGCATAACTCTCAACAAATTGTGGCACATAAAATGTTTATACTATGTTATATAGGTATGTATATATTGACTATTGTTTGTTCTTTGGTTGGTGAGCCTGGATGAGGGTGTGAAGCAGTGTTGCCAACTGCCGTTCAAAAAACTAGCTGAATCCAATGTTAAAAAAGCTAAAAATAGTTGATTTAGCTTTCTGAGTACCAATGGACAATGAACTGAATTGGCAAATGCTTGTCATTGAGAATAAGCTAAATCAATCAAAAATTTCAATTGCTTGCGAGACCACTGAATATAGTCGAATTTAGCTAGAAAATAGCTGAATTGGCAACACTGGTGGGTAGGGTATTCATATTACGTTTACTCATCGTAGTCGGTAATCATGAGGCCCCGTTTGGTGAAGTTTATCGATGAGACCGTTGAGAGATTTGGTGCCGCATCGATGCCATCGAAGAGGTCACTAGTAGCTGAGCTGTTCAGGGAATTAAGCGTTACATTGAATGACCCGCCAGCGGTATTGAAACGCTCCTGCAGCTCCTGTTGCTGCTTTAGGTTCTCCAATTCATCGCGCAGCGCCTGATTGGTCAGACGCAGACTCTCCGCCTCCCGCAGGCAGTCGCGCAAGCTAAATAATATTAATTTCGATATAATTGTTTTTTATATTTGTTTTTAATTGAATAAATCTGGAAGCGCTATACTTACTGGTCAATCTCGTTCTGCATGCTCTTGATGTAGTCGCAGGCCTTGATTAGTATTTGCGATTTGGAGTCGTTGGGTGGTGTGCGTCCATTATTTTGGCTACTTCTAATGGTCGCCTTGGTGTCCAACGATTCAGCATGGCCAATGGCATTCGTGGTCGGCTTATAGCGATTACCTTCCGTGGGCAGCATCTCTTTCAGCTTAAAGATCCAGCAATTGATTTTATCGCGACGTCGACGCTCCACTTCGTTGTGTGTGGCGCGTCGCTTGTCATCGCGTTTTTTATACGCATCCAATTTAACATTGTAGCCAGCACAGAGTGGAGGAGCTGCAGCAGTAGCTGTTGGGGCCGAATGGTTGGCAACTGCTGCGGCCAGAGAGGAACTGCTGCTGCTGCTGGGTGAATCCTTGCTGGCAGCAACAACAATATTGTGTGTGGTCGTTGAGCCACTGCCACTAACGAATAGCACGTTTGTGGACGGCGTGGAAATGGAGTCCGGCTCCAGTTTGATGGAAGCCATTGGTTGCTGTGCATGCTTCAGCAGCATTTGATCGTTCGTTTTCGGACCGACACTGGTGGCAATTGTGTGCGTGGTGTCCTTAACTAAATAGATTTCACAACCAGTTGGCAGCTGCAGATTTGTGGGCAACAAGGCATGCAGTGCATCCAGATCTGGCTCCTGCTTAATGCTTTCAATGGCATAAAACTCTTGAGATTCATTTGAGTTGTCATCATCGCCGCATATGGTTAAATAGATTTGAGCACCATTATTCACGTCGACGCCGCCCACCGCAACGCTACCACTGGTTAGAAACAGCCCGTTCGCCGTGGACGTGCCACAAATACTCCCATTTCCATTTCCGTTGCCATATGCACTGCTCAGCAGCGCGACGTCTGTTGCTGTTGCGGCTGCTGTTGCTGTTGCAGCTGTGGCCAGCTCCAGACGTGGCCGTTTCTTCACATTCATTGCAGCTGTTTGTTGTTGTGGTTGTTGCCGTTTGTTGCATTAACATAAGATGTCATCATCTCACTTTATGTTATCTTTATATCGTTATATGCTGGCACAATGGGTGTCTCCTTTTTTTTTTTTGTTGTTGTTCACGTAACTTTTTGTAATTTGAGAGGCGTAGCTGACACTGCTGCTGCTGCTGCTGCTACTGCTACTAACTACCGTTATGGCGGACTGTTTCAAAACAACTCGTTGGCAATATGCATTGCATTCGTTTGGCCATTTAGTAAGCAGACAGAATACAAGCACACATTTGTTGTTAAACAACCATAATAATTGTCATTGCAACGATATGTGGCTGTTCTTTTTTTGCGTCTGGCATCCTTATCTGCAGACTTCAGCTGGCAACCCCACCCGCAACAAAGTGAGTCAAGAATTATCGCATATTAAGATAACGCCGCAAAAGCGTATACAATGCATGTGGTACAAGACTTTTGTTCTGCGCATCTACGTCATGTGCCATTGAGCAGGCTAACTGGGTTTGATAAAAATATTAATAAAAAAAAAAACTAACTCAATTCATTGGTCATTATTTTTTTGATATATATCGTCTTAAGCCCATAATGTGCAAATTCTTATTTTGGTTTGAATATCAATTAAATATTCAGCCTTGACGTCATCCAGCTCTCTTGTAATTGTGTTGGCTTATCGAAAGCTGCGCATGGCATAACCTTCTAAAATCGACCATGCTCATACAACAATCTGCTTCGATATACCGATAGGCAATGTTTTTTTTTTTTTTTGCAATACAACAGTGAAACATAAAAAAACGCTCTAATTGAAATTGAATATTAATATTATAATATTATCAATGGCTATCCCATCAGCACGTGAATCACTTACACTTGCAGTAAATAATCGTTTTCTTCCAAATCTCGAGTACTTGCTGCAAGGCTCCATTTTAGACACAGCCGTCGAGCATTTGATGCACAGGTGCGTATTGAAGACCGGCGAAGAAAGGTAGATTATATCAATGTCCTTGACAGATTGAAAGGCCTATGCGATAATGTGGACACCTCACCGGAGACGTTTCATGATCTAGAGGTGTGCATGAGCCTGCGGCAACCAAATTCACCACAGCCGCTGCTGCTGCGGGTGCGACGCGCGCTTGGACGGGATGCACCGTTCCAGATGCGATATTTGGGACAGCCCGAAGTGGATATGCGCCGACCCACGCTGGTGCGCAGCTGCATGGACTGTGCCTGTACCAATGGCATTCTCGACTTCCTTTCCGAAATGGGCTTCCGCCTAGAATTCGAGTATATAGCAAAAGGTAAGGTAGCCTGGCCTGGATAACTGGAGCTCATTCATTAGTCCTTGTCTTTTTAGGCTACATGTTTCGCAAGGGTCGCATGAAGATAACCGTCTCGAAGCTTATCAAAATTGTACCCGGTAAGCAGCAGGACATGGCAAATGAGCCCATCTCGCAGAGCTACATTGTCGAATTATCGGTTGTGGCGCCCACGGGTCAGGAGAATGTTGGCGAGGAGATGCGCTTGTTTGCAGAACAACTTAAACCTCTGGTACAGCTGGAAAAGATAGATTACAAACGTCTAGGCAATCTACCGTAAATCTAGCAATAAAACGTAGAATTTTAATTACATATAATTAAGCACAATTATGTAAAAAAAATATATATATATTTTAGGAAACTTTTTAATACCCTAAACATGATTGATTTTTATTCAGGGCAATGCTATAAAAACTTTCCAGATGTAAGTATGTTTTAGCAACGGGAGCTCGTTAATTAGTTGGTCCATAATGCAAACTATTTGCTCAACTTTGAACTTGACATCGTTTCGACTTTTAACTGCATATAAACCATATCTTTAAGTTGGTCGAAAAATATTGTTTTTCAATTATATGTTGATAAGATTTACAGATTACGAGATTACCATTGGACTACTAAATGAAATTGCCACCAGAAAAAAACAAGCATTTTAGAGAACCACATTCAAAAGAAAATAAAATAGAATACTTTTAAAGTATTTAGTGCTAAAAGCTCAGAGAAACTTAAGATTCATTAAAAATGGGGAATCTTAATTCCAAGCAATTATAATTTCGGTACATCGTACATTTCGGTAATCCGCGATTAAATTGCATATAGAAGCATCTAGTTTCTTTGGAAATAACTTTAAAGTGTGTTAGATTTGACAACAACAATTTAATTTAAGTTCCGAAAAGCTTACACATAGAAAAATACGTTCATTACAATCATTTAACAATCGTATGAAAAACCTGACATATTGACGGGAATGCAAACGAAAAACATTATTTACATAGAGATAAAGCCAACAACCAGCTGCTTTTCGGCGACAGATCCTAATCCTTAAAGGCCTCGTTGAGTGCCGCCAAGTTGCGATCGTTGATGTGACCCTGCAGCTCGCTGCGACCCATCAGTGAAATGACCATCCTCAGCGTACTCCAGATGGACTCAGACATCTGATTCTGGCCAAGGGCCTGTGCATTGGGCAGCTCTCTTGCGGCATTCGTGTGCGCCTGCATAGTTAGGGCCGTAATCAGATGCTCGGCGGCCTCCTTGTAGGCCTTCAGGTTCATGCAGCAGACGCCGACATTGTAGCGGACGCGTATGAAACCAGGCTGTAGCTGAAGTGCCTGCTGGTACGCTTCGACCGCCTCCACGGAGCGTGAGCCGTTGGCCAAGCTGGCGCCCAGACGATTCCACAGTTTGGCATTTTGCGGATCCACATGCACGGCGGAACGATAGCAGTCGACCGCTTTGTCAAATTCGCCGGATAGATTATAGAGGACACCGAGTGCCTCCTGTAAATCGGCGTCCACTTGGGCGGGTTGCATGCGCACCGCCTCCAAATAGACCTGCTGCAAATCACGCAGCTTGTTGCCGCCAATCAGGGAGGAGGCCAGCGATGTTCCCTCCGATTGCAGCAGGGGATAGGCGGTCAGTAAATGCCTATACTGCGGATGCGCCTCTAACCAGTTGGAGAGCATTTTAACCGCATTGCTCTGCAGGCCTTCGTTGGTGTAGCAAACGGCTAGGGCCATGAGCACCTGCCGGTTCTCCGGCTGTAGTTCGAGTGCGCGTTTCAGTGCAGCGATGCCTTGTGGATCCATTTCGTTTTCGGCCTGGGAGACGCCCAGCAGCTGCCAGATTTCGGCACGTTCCGGCTCCCTTTTAGCAGCCACCTCAAAGCAGAGCACGGCGCTGGGTATGTCGCCCTTGGTCAAATACTCCTTGCCCTTTTCGAAGGCGTTGTCCAGTTCGGCCATGGGATTTTGTTCAGCAAATTCGTACTCTTTGTAAGCGTCCAGGTTCTCATTGTACTCGGAGAGCCAGGGATGCTCGTTCTCCTCGGCCAGTTTCTGCCATTCGTCCTGCAGGCGCTGCCAGAACTTTTCATTGAAATTTGTGGCCGTCTGTTCGTTGTGCTCTTTGTTGCGCTGAAAGTCGCTAATCCAATCCTCGACAGACTCGCCGGAATTGGCCACCTTTGGCAAATTGTCGGTTATTATCGTCTCCATGCTCTCATCAAAAAAGGCATCGTGCTGCTGCTGCTGCTGCAGCTGCTGGGGTGCAGCTGCGATGGCCATATATGGCTGTCGCATCATTTGTGGCGGCATAAAGTTTTGACTGGTGATCAACGGCTCATCGAAGAACTCCTGGGAGTGCTGCATATGTTGGTGCTGCGGCGGCAAGTGCACAGCTTTATTGGGCAGCTGTTGCTGCATAAAGTCCCGGCTCCATTGGCCGGCTACCTCGTTTTGCTGCGGTGCTCCATGGATATTGATGCCACGCATCTCTTGCATCAGTGTGTCCATTTGAAAAGATTGCGGTGGGGCAGCCACTTGGCCAAGAAAATCGTTGACTAGCTGCTCGTCTGGACGTAAGCTGCGCTCGAATTGCGCCTGGGCAAAACCTTCATCCTTGTGGGCAACATCACGGGTGAACTGACCGCCCAACTGCATCAACGGATTAACAGCTCCACAGTCGCCTTCCACAAGTGGACGTAACGACATCTTGATACGTAACTGTTACTGGTTTTAATTACTAGAGCAGAAGATTGAGAATTGAGGAACTTCTAAGATAAGAATATCGAAACAAAAGTCCAAATGTCAACAATGGGGATGGACGATATATTTGCATTGTCTTAGAATATATCGATTGCCCCGACAGCTATCGAGCTTGTCAGTGTTTTGAAGAAGACGAAGCAGAGCTCTTTTTGCCGCCAAACTCAATATTCAAACATCAAAACAAACAAATCTATATTAAGTGCAACGAGCACACGAACAAGTTATTTAGCTAGGAAACTGCTTGATATTTTTTTATATTGTCAATCAATAGAATATTTTGATGGCATTAAACTTACAACCTGTTAATGTCCAAACGGGAGATGGTTGCCGACCTCATTTTTGATGCATTACAAATATTCTTGATTTATTTTTTCTGAGACAGCTTGTAAGATTTAAGTGTGAGATTAGCTTCAACGTTAGGAAATTGCCCAATATTTGTTTTTCCGGCTTAAACGGGCCTTTTCGCGCTTTATCGAGCATATATTTCACTTGTTTTTTGTGCACAAACTTTAAAAAGCCCGCGTTCCTCTCTAGCCCAAACACCTGCGCCATAGCAATTTATCGATAATTGTGCGATTGATGTTGTCATCCGAATTTGCAGAGTCAGCAGTTTTGGCGCCAAAATGTTGCAGTTCAATGCCTGCTGCCAATAACAATAAATAATAACAAGCTTGATCCCGATCTAGTCCATTGCACCAACAATGGACTATGATTTATTCCAGTCGGATGACGATGAGGACATTCTCACCGCCTTCTTGCAAGCAACACAAAAGCCACAGCCAGAATCGCTGGCGCCGTTGGAACAGTTATTGAACAGCAACGAGGAGTTCGATCATGAGGACAATGCTTTGGATCTGCTGCCCGAGTTTAACTGCACTGGCCGAGATACAATCAAGACACAGGTCGACTTGCCAAGCAGTGGATTTGTACGCAATGGCTACGCGTTGAATGCGCAGGTGCCACGCAGCCGGCTGGACAGACTGTGCTTTGACTTCGAGTCGGATCAGCTGAAAGTGTGCGCAGTCTTGCGTTATCTGCATGGCGAGGCTTGGTGAGTAGCCAGTTGCTGACTATCGCTTGTATATACACCACACTAATTCCATTCGTTCAGCAAGAATATACAGAAGTTGTGCGGCGCCGTGGCGGGCCAGCAGCAGCTGCAATCGAAGTCCTCGCTACATGCTGCCAGTAGCTGGTACACGGTACGCCAGCAGGTCACACATTACTATCATCTGCTGATGCACGACATCGACTTGGCGGAACATTGCCAGCTGCTATATCCGGCAGCTATACAGCTGCGCGAGCTGCTCAACAGCTGCCTGGATGCGGCCGCCTGGCGTGTCTTATACTTTGCCGAGCATGGCAAGGGCAACGAGTGCCAGGCGCCTGCCTACCATCTATACCATGGCGCACTCGAGTGGCGTCTGCTGGACTTGTGCTTGCAGCGCAAGTTTGAAGCAGCCGCGCCCGATGCAGCGGGTCAGTCAAAGTATCTGTCACAAATGGAGCGCACTCTGGATGATCTGGTGTTATGCGCCAGTTATTATCACAAAAGCAAACACAGCGCCGAGCTGCTGCACACTTCGGCTTTTATGTGCCGCTGCAACAAGGAGCTGTGGCTGTTGCTGCACCAGCAAACGGACACGGAGACTGCTTTCTGGCCGCTCTTCCACCGGGCCATGCAGCGCCACAAGGCGCAGCTGCAGCGTAGGTGACATATGCATCAACTGGCGCAGGAATCTCAATTTGTATTCTGTTTTCAGTGGACGCTGCCGGCGCCGCCGTGGCCTATCATGAGTTTTATGCCTGGCTGCGGCTTAGCGTGGCTCGTTTGGGCGCCTATGATGCAGCTGGAGTCCAGCGCTTACAACCGACAGCGCCAGTGGCAGCGGATCAGTTGCAGACGGGCGGCTTACTGCGACAGTTTCTGGCCAGCCAGCCGGATGAGCAGCAGCGACGCGTCTATCTGTGCCTGTTGGCGCCGTTGCAGCTGCATTGGGGCCAACCCGACACGGATGTGCTCTGCCAGCTGTGGGAGTGTCTGCATCGTTCGCTCAACTGTAACTTTAGTGCGGGCACGGCACAGCTAGAGCAACTGCCGCTGATCTGCGCCAGCGGCGCTGCCTATTTGGAACGCTATCGGACGCTGCTGGCCAAGCCGCAGCTGGAGGATCTAAATCTGAGCAGTTTTACGCTGTTCGCGCTGCTGCTGGGCAAAACGCTGCAACAGCTTCCGGCACTGGGCCGTGGCAATCAGGCACAGAAGCTGCTGGGACGCATCTTTAGCAAGTTCAGTGCTGCCAAGCTGTTGGCGCTGAATGAGTCCGGCATACACCATGTTATTGAGCTGTTCCTCTGCCTGCTGCTCACGTATGGCGAGTTTGGGGAGCTGGCGCCCAAGCTGCGCGAAATGCTGCTCTGTCTGGCGCTGGACAAGCTGCCCGCGGCGCGTCGCCTGCTGGCGGCCAAAGGACATATGGCTGTGCTGCTGCTTCATGCGCAACGTCGCCAGCCACTGGAAGAATATGTGGCCAAGCTGCTATCACAACTGGCAGCCGTGCGCAACGATACAGATGTGGGCGGCATCTATGCGGCCACGCTGGAGCCCATCTTCCAGCTGGCCGATGATTTTGCACGCGGCGAACATCTGCTGCTGGCGCCCTGGCTGACCCATTACATGGAGCACAGCGCACAAGCGGCACAGGAGCGCGTCTGGCAAGCATTGCATTTGCTTCTTCAGAAACTAAAAGTCCAAATGTCGGCCAGCGTGTGGGAGGCACTGCAGCAGCATGTGCTGCCGCAGCTGCGTGTGCAATACGTAAGCGGCTTCAGCAGCTGGCTGCCCAAGCTGGCCGCCGACTTTGTGGCACTGGACAAGGACAAAAAGATGCTGGAGTGTCTGCTGCTGGGCGCCGAGCCGGCGAATACGGCAGCCAGCGCACAGCTGTTGCTTCATGTGCTGCAGGATGTAGCAGCTGTTGGCCAGCCACCGTCCGGCGTGCTCATCCTTCAAGTGTGGATTAAATCGTTGGTGCTGCTCAATGCACAGCACGAGGCGGTGATTGCGCTGACGCCGCATGTCATCCAGCTGGAGGAGTTTCGTGCACTCGGCCTCGACGCCGAATCGCTGGCCGGCCGGGAGCCACTGTGTGCATTTTTCGGGGCCTTGGGTCGACGCGCCCAGCAACAGGAGGGCGTCGCCCATGTACGCATGCAGCTCAGCCACAAGCTGCACGCCTATGTGGCGCACTTTGAGCACTGGCTGCCCACGGACCAGCGAACACGCGGCAGCGCAGAGTCGCAAGGCCGCCAAGAGCGTCCCGAGCTGGGAGCACGCTTCTACAACTTTTTGGCCATTGTTATTTATAATTGTGCAACTCTCTCCTATGTGCGCTCCAAGCCCAGCTGCTTCTTTCACCTGGCCATGGTGCGTTTCCTGCTGACCACACAGCTGCAGGCGGGCGTGCCGCCCGAGGGTCGTCTGCCGCAGCTGGTGCACAAGATATTTCCGGTGCTGCTGCAGGGCATTGGCCGGTTGCCATATCGCACGGATGCGTATCTCAGCCGCACGCTCGAGCAGCTTGTGCTGCACTGGACACCGCATTTCGGCTTCTCCAGCAATGTCAAGCTGGTGGCGCGTCCATATGCCACGCTGCTGCAATCGGATGCGGATGGGGAGTTGGCGCAGTTTGTGGTGCAGCAGTTGGCTAGCCAGTTTCTGGGCGTGCAGCGCAGCCAGGCGGGCACGCATGTTGGCCTAATCTTGACGCTGCTGCAGCAGCTTCTCAGCGGCCTGGACGAGACGCTGGAGACGTCGCGCGACCAACTGCCCAGCCCAGAGGCGCAGCTGTTGACGCTGCTGCGAGCGGTGCATATGCCGCTGCTTGAGCATGTGATGTTTGTGGGCGAACTGGAGCCCAGTCGCGTCCAGGTGTTGACCCTGTATCGCGTGCTCGTTAATCTGCGCCAGTTCCAGCGCTCGACAGCGGCACGCGAGCTCTGCTCCGGCGATATACGCAGCCTGGCCGAGAAACATTTGGCGCACTGCACCTACTTCTACTTTCAGATGCTCATCAAGCTCGCGGAGCAGGCGCCCCAATTGGTGGCGCCACTCTATGGCTTTGTGCGCGACCAGGCGCACAGTGTGGAGCTAAAACGCGGCGCTGGCGAGGATGTGGGCATACGCAAGTGCCTGCAGCGTTTGCAGCAGGTGCTGCACACCACCTAGTTGGGCATATAAATGTTTAAGTTAAGGTTAGTAGCTGCAGAGCAAGCGCAAGTACAAGAGTGTGCCCGATCTCTGCATTGTCCACAAATGTAAATCCATATTTATTATTGCTTATTCTAATGCTTAAGACAATATTTGTACTTTTTTATGATGTTTTAAATCCCATTTACCGATGCAAATTAATTAAACTCAAACTTAAATTAACTACTTTCTTATAGATATTGACTTACATATGATTTTTGGCTTTTCAAAGGCTTCAATTTATGACACATGCAGTCAAATGAGATAGTATATAAATTATATGTTTTTTAAATCAGCGTAGGCGATTTGGAAATGTCCTGGTGTTGTCTAAATGAATATGAATTAAAATAAGCTGCGCGTTTCATTGACTGTAAATGATTTAAAAAATTTGTACTTAAGCTGGAGTTTAGCGTAGTTATGGGATATGGCATTAAATGGTGTACTACCTGGAGATGGGTGCTCATGGCAACGACTATTGTGACATTAAGTCACTTTCCTTAACATTTTCCAGAAATTTCAACAACGTCCGGGATAATTGGTGTCGTAGAGCACGCGCGTTGTCGCTGGAAATTGTTCGCATTTCCGACAAAAGATAGTCGCAAAATGCCGAATTTGCGTCCGGATTTGAGCCTGCGCCAGCCGCAGTTGGCAAAGCAGCGCCTACAGCCTGCAATGCGGCGGCCGGAGTTGTTGTTGACGCCGATTTACTGGATGACGATCTTGCCGGACTTTCTGAGGCGCCAGTGGGAGAAGGTAATGGGCTTGTCAGGCCTGGCGCAACCGGAGTCGATGGCAATGCACCCAGAGAAGTGCTCGCTGTGGCGGGCAGCAATGGTATCGTTGGTGTGGATGCTGTGGAGCTAGCATTGCCGCGTGTCCGACGTCTCTTGAGCGACGTAGCGACAACCCGTGTCGGCCGAGTTTGTGTAAAGGGCTTCGTTTCAGGGCTAGAGGTTTGGTCTTTACGCTGCAAGAGAACGTGGGGAGAATTAATTGCATGGTTAAGCATAAAAAGCAGATAATTTACCGAAGCCAACGATTGATCCGCGTTATTTTGGTCCAGGAACGACATGAGTTCGAAATAACGCCAGACCACGGTGCTGGTATTAGCCGGGCCCGCGCTTTGCATTTTGCTGAAATTAAGCCTGTAAGTGACGCGAAGCGAGGCCCATTTTGTTTTGGCCTCGTTCACATCGACGCCGTCTATGGCAAGGGCAGCGACAATGGTGTTCCAGCAGTCTGATCTATTTGATTTTTGCTGTAATGCTCCGTCCATCCAGATCGACGGTTGTTTTTTAACAGCTTTGATTAAGCTAATTACCTCGTTCTCTGACCACTCGTGCTGTATTTTCCTTTTCAAATTTTTCTTTTTGACACGCCGCGATTTCTTCGAAATAATAGGCGCCAAATGTTCTTTGTCCCTGTCGCTCATGGCCCCTACATTTCGAAGAGACAATTTGGTAACAGACATTTCCGTCATATTGTCTATGATTATTTAGCAGGAATACAGTTATCAATCCACTTATTTTTCAATATTGATATGAAGATATAAAAATTTCAGAGGTTGCCGCATTTATGAGAATCTGCAGGATAGGTGGCAACCACCAATTGCGTGTTTTCCAGCACTCTCAAGTGCATGCAATAATCGATACTAAATTTGACAATCGATATGCGCTAATGCCGCGTTTCCAATCATCATCAACATCAATGTCGAATGATGCGCCAATTTCAAAACATACCAAGCGCGTTTCAAAAAATTAACTCATATCCGGGGCCCAGACTTTCTAGTTAAGCGGGCTCTTTTCTCAACTGTTGCAACTAGAAATTACACATGTAACAGTCAGCAGATTCACCTGTTAAGTTTAAAGATTGAGTTCAACTTCTAACTTGAAGTCTTTTTAATGTAGGTGTACAAATAAATCGGTAAAATTTAAAAGAGAAACTGTTGATTCTTCACTAGTTTCTGTCCCGCTCTAATCCGAGCTGCAGCACAGTTAGCAAGAGCATTCATTTGAATTTATTTAAGTAGATTTGTTTAAAAAAATACTATTCTTTAAAGGACAACACGGTTATATCATTGCTTGAAGATTGCTTGAACATCGTTGGAGCTGCGTACCAGCCTTTAAAAGGAATACAAAATTAAAAGCAAAAATAAAACAAATACCATTTCAGACTAGAACTAGACAACGTTCTTGGCATCGCGGGGTATACGATTTGTGAGGTATTTGGCTGGCAGGAAGCCGGTGTCGCCCAAATATTTGATGGACACATTGCCGGACGGACTGATTGTCAGCCACGTGATTGACGCATGATTGATGCTGATGCGCAGCCAGGCCTCCGCCGGGAATTGCAATGCACGGCAGACAAAATAGCGTATTACATTGCCATGACCGACAATTAGCGTATAGCTCTCCTTCTCCTGCTCCGGTAAGGCACGGTGGAAATAGCGTCGGAAGGCGGCCTCGATGCGCGCACCGTCCCGGAAAAACTGCTGCAAATTAAGCCAAATGGTAATGGTTATACAGTGCGTTTCACAACTAAACGACGCTTGCACAACATTTCAATCTTTACGGACATCTTGTGATCAGATTTAAACAACAGTTTTTCCAATTAACGCAGAACAAGATCTTGCCCCATATACATATATCCAGATCTTGTTGCTATGTGCAAGCTTTGAATCAAAGTAGATCAAATTAAATACATATCTCTATCGGAGCAAAGTCGGGGATTAGCAGATTAGATTCAAAATGTGGCAATGCGCAGATTTTTATTTGGAGCTCCGGTTCAGACGTTTTAGTTAAAGCTTAGCAAGGTGTCGCATAGTTATGAAACGCACTGTATGTGGTATGCAATGTTGTTAAAATTATTCCATTAAGCTGGGCTACTCACTGAGGCTTCCGGTTTCCAGTGCCCCACGGGCGGCTGGGGCGGTATTGGTGCGCCCTCACGCAAATACGAACAGTTCTTCACCTTGGCCTTGTCGTAGTCGATCTGGCCTAGTATTATGTCCGCCGTTTCCTGGGCACGCACCATATTTGAGGCGATCACCTTGTCCCATTTGATGCCCAGTTCACGCAAACGTTGGCCCGTATATTTGGCCTGCAGGCGGCCACGATCGGTCAGATGGTGCGTATCATCCGACTCACCCACGTCCAGATATTCACCGTGCCGTATTAGTATGATATGGCGTGCACTCTTCGCCACATGTTTCTCCAGATCGCTGTTATAGCGATTCTGCTCCTGCGGCAAGTCGCTCTTTTGCGGCCGCACCAGACTCTTCGGATCACGAAAATCCCAATTGCTGTCCCACAGCGCACACTCGCTGACCGGCCGGTCGCTGTGCGTCCACGAGTTGTGCACGGCCAGCTGTGGATCGCGCAGCTTTTGGAAATAGTAGGCGGCGAGACCGGCGCCAGTGCCGCACGCAAATGCCGTAAATTTGCGCATTATTAACGGATTGATGGCCCCTTTGCAAATAAATTATGCGGGCGGTCTGTTCCCAATTAACAAACAGCAAAAAGGCGGCACTCAACAGCTGAGCGCGTGTTGCCAGAGCGTTGCCATACTTTCGGCAGATGGGTGTGCGTATTGCGGTGTGGCAGCGCCGTGGAAATTTTGAATTTAAAAATGTTTATTTATATAGTTATTAAACTACTACAACATATTATATAATAACCATGCATTAAGAAGTATGAGTTTTATATAATACTGTGTCTATACGTATTACATTTACTTTATATATTCATATGTTTACGTCCATTATTCAATTATAATTAGTTGCTCTCTCTCTCTCTCTCTTTTCTTTTCAGTGTCTTCAGTGCTGTTAACACTAATTATAAGTTAAACTATGCTTTAAACTAGATTACTGCAATTTAAAGCTGCCGCTTTAGTAGTTGCGAGTGCTTTCAAAACCTTCTCAAAGTCCTGCTTAGGCTTCTTTTTTCTTTTTTTTTTAGCCATTTTAGACACTTTCGGCAGTTGGCACCTGCTCCGGCAGCTGCTCCACGCTGACTGTGCGCACAAATGTGGCGCTGGCTTCAATAACAATTGTGGGCAATTCATTAACAGGTTGTGTCGGTGCAACAGCCTCAGCTGGGCTGGCTTTGTCCTCGGCCGCAACTGGTATTGCAGCAGCAGCAGCCGCCTCAGATGGAGCGTCTGCATCGGCGGGAGCAGGCACTGCTTCCGTTTGGGATACACTTGCCGGCTTCGTCTGCTCCGTTGTAGCTGCTGGTGTTACTTCTGCCGCGTCGGCTGCTTCCACAGGTGGCTGATCAATGACAACTGAAGGCACCCCAGCTGCGACTGGCGTTCCAGTAGCTGCTGCTGCTGCTGCTGCGACTGGAGCTGCAGTAGGTGCCTCGCTAGCAACAGTTGCTGCTGCTCCCGGCTTACCCGCTATGGGTGGCAATGCTGTTAATGCCTCCGGATTATCTTGTACGGCTGGCGATGGTGACTTGGACTTTGATTTCGATTTCAATCCTGGTGAAGGTGTGCGCGATTTGGATGCACTGCGCTGATCCGCCTGCACCTTCAGTTTTTGCTCGTGAGCACTTTTGTCAAGCATCACAGACGTCGACTGGGGCGCTGGACTTGCGCCACGTTTAATCTCCTCAACCTTGGCATTGAGCTCCCGTCGTATTTCAACAATGGGCCTCAACAGAAAGATGGGCACATCGTCGTCGCGACGCTGATACAGCATTTCGCCCTCGAAGTCCAGAAGCTTGTGTTTGCGCGCGCGCAACAGAATGCCGACAACTTTGTCCGAAATGTAGTTGTAAATCTGAATAGACAAAGATGCAGGCGTCAGTGAAAGTTAACCTCTAAATGAGGGGTGGCTGGGGGAGGGGGGGGGGGGCGTCATCAACTTACGTTGAACAACTCGCCAAAGGGTATGACGCGCATGCTTGGCTCATCCTTAACCGTATATCCCTCGGAGTCAATGATCTGGCACAGCTCGAGCATTTCCTTCATCACATGCATATTGGCCTTTTGGCCACGCATCTCTGTCAGGCTGCCGGCCAGCGGCTTGCCATACTGATCCTTGGAGAAAGTTGGCTTCGGCGATGAGGCGCGTCCATCGTGCGAGAATGGGTTCAATAACTGCGACTGCTTATGCTGTGTCGCCTGATTGTTGAACATGGCCACCTTCGATGACAGCGGCGATTCCTGCAAGTGCAACAAAGCGAATGGAAACTCTTTTAAAAAAAAAACGCTAACAGCGGCGAAGCCACAATGATGCACAAGGAAATTCAAGCTCAAGCCGGCGTTGCCAGAATGTTAACTGCTATAAACTTCGGTCGCGTTGCCAACTGTTGTTGTTATTTCCCTTTGGCATGGCGGCACTTTTCAAATTTGAATTCAAGATCCTACACGTGGCAAATAATTTAATTAATGAGCTGTAATTAAATAACAGCAGTTTTACATGTTCTTTAATTTGTCATTGCATCAGCAATGAGCGACATATATGTACATTACATACTATAGTGTATACACACACAAGCAAATGGTACGAAAGGAATGCGCAAATGTCGGCCCATAAATAAAAACAAACTTTGATGAAAAATTTCAAAATAAATAACAAATAAAGCATATTTACACTTCCTCGAGCATACACAACACAAATGAAAATTTAATAAAACCAAATGGAAAATAAAAATAAAAGCTAAGAACGGCCTTCGTGGCCAATTTTCGCGAACGTTTTCTGTTTGTTTAAAACATATATTTTGAAAAACTAACAAACTATATATATACATATATTTAGATGTGTGTGTGTGTGTGTGTGTGTGTAAATATGTTTTTATGTTCTCTTTTGAATTATGTGCCTTTAATTTAACTAAGTTATTGTATAAATCTGTTGGCTATAAGTCTATAGCCGGATGAGCTGTTGCCACATACATACATATGTGCATAGTATTTACATATGTATACTTTGGCCAGCTCTAGCTTTATTTAGACAGCATTTGAAATAATGCGAATTTCGGTTGGCCAAAGAGAAACAAAACAAATTATATAAGTAAATAAACAAATAGACGACAAATAACCAAATGGCAACCAGTCAAATGACGTTATCAACGGCGACGTTGCGTGTCTTTTTGATCAATATCCAAAAATGTCGTCAATCGATTCGGCTGCCAGCTCAGTTGTTTCATGAATTTCATTCATATATTCAATATAAATAAATAAATAAATGAAATGCGCAGCGCCAGGCGATGAATGAAAATGTTAAGCACAAGAATTTTGGCAATAAACCTGCAAGTTATATATACTCTATACTCTATACTCTATACTCTATACTCTATACTCTATACTATATACTCTATACTCTATACTCTACACTCTATACTCTACACTCTATACTCTATACTCTATACTCTATACTCTATACTCTATACTCTATACTCTATACTCTATACTCTATACTCTATACTCTATACTCTATACTCTATACTCTATACTCTATACTCTATACTCTATACTCTATACTCTATACTCTATACTCTATACTCTATACTCTATACTCTATACTCTATACTCTATACTCTATACTCTATACTCTATACTCTATACTCTATACTCTATACTCTATACTCTATACTCTATACTCTATACTCTATACTCTATACTCTATACTCTATACTCTATACTCTATACTCTATACTCTATACTCTATACTCTATACTCTATACTCTATACTCTATACTCTATACTCTATACTCTATACTCTATACTCTATACTCTATACTCTATACTCTATACTCTATACTCTATACTCTATACTCTATACTCTATACTCTATACTCTATACTCTATACTCTATACTCTATACTCTATACTCTATACTCTATACTCTATACTCTATACTCTATACTCTATACTCTATACTCTATACTCTATACTCTATACTCTATACTCTATACTCTATACTCTATACTCTATACTCTATACTCTATACTCTATACTCTATACTCTATACTCTATACTCTATACTCTATACTCTATACTCTATACTCTATACTCTATACTCTATACTCTATACTCTATACTCTATACTCTATACTCTATACTCTATACTCTATACTCTATACTCTATACTCTATACTCTATACTCTATACTCTATACTCTATACTCTATACTCTATACTCTATACTCTATACTCTATACTCTATACTCTATACTCTATACTCTATACTCTATACTCTATACTCTATACTCTATACTCTATACTCTATACTCTATACTCTATACTCTATACTCTATACTCTATACTCTATACTCTATACTCTATACTCTATACTCTATACTCTATACTCTATACTCTATACTCTATACTCTATACTCTATACTCTATACTCTATACTCTATACTCTATACTCTATACTCTATACTCTATATTCTATACTCTATTAACATAGACGTATCTCCGCGCAACCTTTCTGCATTCGCATGCCAGTCAATTCGCACAGGTGAAAGTCTTTGATGTGAAAATGTTAAAACAAAAAAACAAAAACTGCATACAAATTTCAATTGAAATGAAAATTGCAGTTTTCATCGTGCTGGGAAATATAATATTCATCAAATCTGCACCCGAACAAAGGTAATATGTAATGCAATTTATATATGTACGTTAACGCGTATAGCGTATATTTTATGGCTGCATTTAACTAACTGGAGTTTATGGCAAGCCAATGAACCGAACCGGTTCAAATGAGCTGGCGCGCAAAATAACGGCTAACAAATTTGACCCAAAAGCTGGGCAAGTGCTTGCGTAGATTGCTTAATTATGTGTGTGTGTGTGTGTGTGTGAGTGTGTTTGTGTGTGTGTATTTGCGCTGGCATTTGTGTATATAGTATCTATAACTGATTCGATTTGTCGCTGTCGGCGCCGCTGTCACTCAGCAAAAGTCGTCGCATTTAATATACTATACATAAAATACACACGGGCGGACGGACTACGTATATATATATATATATATATATATATGTATATATATGTAAGAAGGCTACATAACATTGCTATTTCAGCGCAAACGATGGTCATTGCCAAGAATTTTTCCGTGTTTTGATCTTTTGCACAGTGCGACAAAAAAATTTGTTTCTTTTGTCAGCCACACAAGCACACACGCTCACACACACACACTCACACACACACACACACATAAATAGACCGGGCATATGTATGTGTGAAGATATATATGTTTGTATATATATCTGCTATTTTGGCAATTCATTTGGCGACAAATTAAAGCAATAGCACATAAAAACTGAAAACTCTTATTATACACTTGCAGAGGGTATTATATATTTGTCATGATTCCTACCATATCTTATCAACAGCCGACTACTATATCATCTACATATATATCTATAGGAAAAATCGGTTGAGAGTAATTAATTGTTGTCGGCAAACTTTTATGTTATGCTACGAGCTTTTAGGGTATTTCATCTTCGGTGTGCGCTTGCTTCATTTTGGTTGCTGTTTTCGGGTTTTCATTTGCAAATATCTTGAAATTTATCAAAATTTTTCTTTGAATGATTTTTAATCGCGCTGGCTTTTTTTTTGACTTTGGAACAATTTCTCGCACATGTTTTTCATATACAAATTTTGTGCGACATTTTTTGTTATTGTTGCCGCTGGTTTCTGTGGTTTATTATTATGATTTTTCATTTTCTTAATTTTTGGTTTTTTTTTTTGCTTTTTTTTTTTGCGCATAAATAATGTTCAGGCATTTGTCGCACGAGATATTTGCCATATAATAATAATAATAATAATGGGGAATTATAAAAATAACTGCAGAATTTCTCTTTTTTCCTAAATATTGTATATATTTTTTTTATTTTCGTTTAGCTTAGTCTGTGCGCCAAATTCCACAAATGCCTTTTATTTTTGAGGTCTTGTCTAATTGGCTATAATTTTTTTTTTTTGTGGTGAAGTTGAGTTTTGAGTTATTGGTTTCTACCTGTTCTTAATGTGAGAAGAGCATATGTATGTATATAGGGCTTTAATGAAATGTATTTTGGGGGCGTGGCAAATATCCTTTTCAACTTTCGGACAATCTTTCTCACTACATTTGCTGAGGCTGCAAGCTCGAAGCTGTTATTGGACCACGATCGAGTATTATGTACGCAGTCGGTTGTGCCCAGTTCTTAAGTTAATTAATTTTGCATTTTTTTGGGAAAGCTGGAGGCTGTTACTTACCACTACAAAGCGCAGGGCGCCCAACTCATGCGATACATCGGCCATTTTGTTATTGGGATTTGGTTGTTGCAGTTTTGCAGTTGTAAAAGTAACTTAGAAAAGCGTTCGCTGGAATTGACGATGGGCCCCAGAAAGACTCACGTGTCACAGTTGGTCTCTATTTGTTGAAACTCGGGCTAGTTTATTGCCACAGTCGTCTTTGGGGTACTGTAAATGTAAATGTAAATAAAGGCCAATTAAAGTTGGCGAAACGTTAGCAAAAAACTCAAAAACGACAACAAACATCAAACAACTAAACGGAAAAGAAACGCTACGCGAAAGACAGCCACAACAATAATAATAATAATAATAACAATGAAAATTTGTTTCGTTTCAGCGCCCATTGTGTTTTGCCCTGGCATTGCTACACAATGTTGTTGTTTTTTTTTTCGCTTTTATTTAGCATTTCTTTTGTGACCCACAGTCAGACCCAAAAAAAAAGTAGATTGAAAAAAAAAACAGTTGAGAAATAAAAACAGAGCGACCCCAAAAGAAAGAAGCAAAACAAAGTCAAATTACGCGAAGCAAAAGAAGCAACAGCCATAGAAATGAAAATAAAAAAAATTAATGCGCACCAACAAACACACGACCCCACACACACACACACACACACACACATACAAAGGCACACAGAAAAGAGCGATGCCACCTTGCCTGAACTCTTAACTCAGCACAGGCACGCATGCGCAAGGCCCTAGCTAAACTAGAAAATTTCGTTTTGCTGCTGCGGCTGCGGCTCATTTGCCGTTTTTTCTGTTTTTTATTTCCCACTAGAAGTTACACTTGCCCCTGGGCCTGTTTATCGTTTCCCATGCCCATGCCCATTCGACCACAGCCAGTGGGACTTGCTTGCCGTTGGTAACAGCGTATCAGGTGTAGTTAAATTTTGCCTTGCGCTTATCGATGCCCGACAAATTTCGATAAATTTGCAGAGCTTATTGTGTGCCCGTTGACAGTTGGCAGCACAAAATGGCCGCCGCTGCAGCAACAGGATACGCAATACGTAAATGGCGACAACTAATATGGACACTGCACTCACTTTTTAACAGATTTATCTGTTGCTGTTGTTGTTTGTTTGTAGTATGCTCCGCTTGTTCGGTTTGTTTTATGGAATTCCTTTTGGTTTTACACTACGTATCTCACTTCAATGCAAATGCACTTGGACTTGGGTATATGTATGTATTTATATTTTATACAAAACCTATATATATATATATTTATATATATATATATATTTGAAAAAAAAACCGCAATAACTGTAGAACAGCTGAGAAATATTGGTTTGTATTTGAAAAAAAATTCTTTTTGCGTTTCTGTGTTCTTGTGCGTGTACACCGTTTGGTTGCTGGGACCAAAAGTGAGCGCTGAAAGCGAGCGCGCTTTCTTTTTATAGCTGCGCCGGGCGCTATACAGACAAGACACACACACACACACTCACACACATACACACAGGCAAACACAGGCACACACGCGCGCATAGAGCGACTCTCACAGTGGCACGAGCGGCATGTAAAAAGCACATCGAAAAAAGTTTCCACAGCTGCTCTCAACATTTTCTTTTAATTTTAGACAGTTTTTTCTGGCTGCGCTCAACAAAAACAGCTAAGCACAATTGTGCCTGCAATGATAACGCACATCATATCAGTAGTTAGGGAGAAACCCCTTGGAACAATAAATAAATTTTATTTCTTTTTTTTTTTTTTTAACTCTTTTCCATTTACAAATGTTTTGGCAATTGAAGTTTTGAATAATATTTTGTTTTTGCTAGTTTTTAAACTATTTTCAGAGGAACAACTTGTGTTTTGAATAGATTGTTCCAGAGTTTTCCATGGTAAACAATTGCAAATTACTTTAAAAAATTTAAGTTTTCCAAGCATTTTTTTCATATATCATAGAAAAATTTAAAACTACGCTGAGGGGTAAGAATTCGCATTTAAAAGCTAAAAGACTTAAAGATACAAGATTTAAAAGATATTGTTTCAGGAAAAGTTTGTAATCTATCTTGGGGAATTGCTGCTATCCTCAGATTCAGACTTTGCCATGTCTAATAGGTTGCTTGCATTAAATATTCAAGAAACAATCAAAGAGGGAAAATGCTCTCTTAAGTTTTTTACATATTCCTCTGTGTACCATGTTCTGCAACGTTTTGCTGGCTGCTTGCTGCTTGCTGGCAAGTAACAGTAAATCAGGCAATAACAGCTGTTCGCTGCTCAAAATTATGGGACATAAAACGTAATGAGCATGCTTTTCATAGGGCTCTTCAGGGTATTTATACTTATTAACGGCCTCTTATGGTCATTTGGTTTATAAAAAAAAAAGCGAAAAACACCTGCTACTTGACTCGGAGAAGAAATGTGGAAAATTCAAGAATGAAAAAAATGCAATTTTGTATGACTTGTTTCGCTTAATGCATTGTGAGTAGCATTCGAAGCCAACAAGAACGGCGCTCGCGATGCGCTTCGCTGCGCCGCCCGGGGTTAAGGTTGGAGCTTGGGCTATGGACACAACCGCAATTCCATCAGAATGGGTAATCAAAATGGCAACTAGAAGCGGATCAGGTCGTGTGCCACGCAGTGTTGCGGGTCGGGTCGGGTCGCAGTTGGAATGCCAGAGTACAGAATGCACATATCTAAATGCCGCGCCTGTTGCTAAGCATACAAAACACCGAAGAGTGTCCCACTAGTTCGGAGTGCCCGACTGACAGATACCCTAGACGCAGCGCCAAGCCAAATAAACTGGCTTCATATGCACTCGAGCCGCTTCTTCTTACCCGCACGCTAAACGAATGCATTCCCGATTAACCTCGGAACCTGTGGTCCGATTTTCCGGGCATAAAATACTCTACAATTTTCTTTTTTTGGAGGGAATGGGAGAGATTTCGAAGAGGAGTCTTTAATCTGCTTTTTGCTTAAAGCAGTTTGACTAAAAATCGATATTTATCGATTTGATCGAAATGAAAGAAGAGAACATTTATGAATCCTTTTCTGGCATCTCAGATAATATATTTCTCTTCGAGATCGACGCGTTCACACAAACGGGACACACACTTGGGACAGACGGACAAGGTTAAGATCGATTTATGCCTCCTTCGGTTACATGTTACCCTCTTTAAAGCCTTTGGCAATGGATTCAATGGGTATACGAGATTCGCGCTCTGTGGCGAATGTCCCATTGCAGTTGGGAAAAACCGGAAGTGACCGGCCGCGCAGCTGCCCCGCCGCCCCCCTGATCGTGCCAGCGTCTACCCAAAGCGAAGACAATCAAAAATAGATTGTGTCATCTAACGGGCTAGTGATCATCGGACGGACTCCGTCAGTGCAATATGATGCGAACCGGGGCGAATTTATCGCTATATATATATATATGTATATATGTATATAGGTGTATATAGTATGTACATAAGCCAAAATCTTGGATGCTAGTCAAAAATGCCAGCTGTCTATTTGAGAATGGAACGCAGCCCCGGCGCTGCGACGACGACGACGGCCATTCGAATCCTGTCAAGAAATGCGTTTAGGGCGCGTGCCCAGCTGCCTTGGCTTGTCAAAGCGTCTGAGCACAGCCTGTCTATACGAATATATATGCATATATATATATATATATATACGTCTAGCTGAGCTGATTTTGTAAATTGAAACAAATTCGAATTGCATTGTTGTTAGCCGCCTTCTGTTTGGCTGACAGCCACAAGTGCATGGCGATGTTGGGCAATTGCTCATTACGTTCGCGTATATATAACCGTATGGTATATGGTCAGGGGCAGCTAAACGTGTCTATATCATATAGTATACCCACCCCTATGGCTCTACTACACACACACACACACAGACTGAGGCACACGCACACGCTCACATAAATGAAATCAAGTCATGAATGAAAATGCGTTCGCCTCTGCGATTTCCTGTTGCATTTTGCATTTAACAATTTTTGCATATTCTTCTACTTCTTCTTCTGCTTCTTAATTTGTTGTGTGCCACAAATTGCTTAGCATAAATTATTTGATATACATGTATGTATGTATGTATCTGCGGGCGTTGAAAGGCCTAAGCAGAACAATTCTTACTTTGTGCATCGCCCTTAATATTTGGCATACGTCCATTCAATTCAATTTTGAATTCGCAAATCGTACAACAAATCAGTTTAGCAAAGTAATATATAATTACAAGCATAACTGAAAGTGCAATTTGTCTTAATATAATACATATGCATATCTGTTTCTATTTTCTAGAAAATTGCGCAAATTTTTAATTCAATTTTTAGTTGAATTTCATATGCTTTTCCTTTGTCTTTATTTCGTTTTGGCTCAATTATTATTTTGCAGAACATTTTGTACAGCTAATGGGAATCACCCAGAAGAGCATCGAGTATTTTCATTAATATTGCATTATTTCCGAGTCGTTTTTCTGCATGATAAACATAACTTGGAACGAAATGAAAAGCAATTGTTGTTTAACGTTTACGAATGGCCTTCAAGGCAAAGTGGCAAAAATAGAAATATAAACAAGATTTATATAAACAGGAGATATAATAAGAACTGAATTCGTTTGCAATTCTCAGTGGCCAGTTGAACGTTTAAGAATGTCGCACAAAAAGGAATTGACAAGAAATGCCACTCGACAGTCTATCAAACTGTTAACGTTGCTGGCTATTAAACATTTAAGAAGATCACACAAAAGCAAGTTTGCAAATAGCACAAACTGAGCGAAAGAGCCTCTAATGCTTATTTAATTTCTTTTTAAATATTTGTTATAAGTCATCTGAATGTAGGAGCATAAGAAATTGAAAGAACAAAGCGGCGCTGACAGTAGTAAAACGTTTACGAATGCAGCACAAAAGCAATTGAAAGCGAGCGACGCCTTTAACTCCTTTAACTTGGACTATTTCTTACGAAACTTCTTGGGGGGCACGTAACGCTAAGAAGCAGACAAATCCGAATCCAAAAAATTGACCAAGATACGTCTATTTGTTAATATGGAAATATGTTCGGACCAGCCTAACCCAGTTGGCCATATACAAGATATACTTCGTATGCACAGCGCTCTTCTATAGCATATAGCTGCTATATTGGACTGATCGGTCGTAGATTTACAAAGCGGACTACTATATAAAGCGGCAGCTATGGCCAGCGGGACCTATAACTGCAAGAGTATTTCATTGTCGGCTTTCTCATACTTGTTGCCTGACTTTTTGGGCTAAGAACTGAACTTTAAGGCCATAATTGTATTTAGCTGCAGAGATTATTATCTAAAAATATATATATACATACATATATACATACATATAAAAGCCATGCGGGATATGTGTATGCGCTGAGCACACAAACCAGCCTGGGCCCACAAATAATACACAGCACATACGAGTATGACACATGCGGACACAATTGTTTCAAAATAGCAGCCGAAACGTCAAAGGTGGCAAGCAGACCGCCCGCCCGAACGGAGGGGGGAGGGAGAGGGGGGGTGGTTGGCGTGTTGCAAATGAGTCATCAACTTTCGGCATAAAGTTCACGAATTGGTCAAGAATGATGATTGCTAATTTTAAATGCGCTCTGTCCCGATTTGGGCATGGAAATGCATTTGATTTGAAACGCGCGTCACACGCGGCGTATGCGCAATGCAACAAAATTGCGCATACGCAGCTTGGTCTGATTCATAACGTCTAATTCGAATATTTGATTATTATTATTTTAATAATTGGCATTATGGGGCAGAATTTGCGTTTTGTTTTTGATGGCCCAATGCTTAGATCTATATATAAAATGCGTGCGTGTGTGTGTGTGTGTGTGTGTGTGTGGCAAGTGCTGAAAGCACTCGCCAAATGACGCAAAATGTGTTGCGCCAAAGCGAAATTGTTATTATTATTATTAATATTATTGTTGTACCCTCCGCAGAGGGCGTAGTATTATAATTTGGCCAAAGCAGGTGCGGCACATAGAAGCAGACCAAAGGCCATATATATTCCTGATATTGATCAGCTCTTCCTGGTCTTCCTGTGGGAATCAGCCGAAACGAATTACTATATCGTATAGCTGCCATGACTACACAGACTTTTTTCACAAATATCTTAAGCAAACTTGGGCATCTTCGAGCTTCATCATATTAGCTATATTTTATCAACATCGGACAACTATAACATCTAACTCTATGGGAACAATCGATGGGAAAATATCTGAAATAAGCCCAGAAATTGCTAATATTCTCACTTACCTGCACAATTCTGTCAAACAAGGGTATTCAAGCATCGGCGTGACGTATATAGTCGCTCTCGCTTGTAATTTCGTGTACCTATTGCAAACGGGTAAATGGGCTATATTGGGGTTGTGCAAATGCATGTAACAGGCAAGCAGAAAGGATGCACGTAAAGTATATATATATATAAATATATATATATGTATACACATATATTTTCTGTCTACCTGTTATATATATATATATATATATAAATATAGATACCTTGAACAATTTCCACTCCTGCTTTTGTAAATATGCATCGATCTCTAGTTATATATGTGCTAGAACGATTTTGTATATTAAATCTTCCATTATTTGCCGCTTTTACATGAAATTGACGAAACAGTTTATCGATATTCCGTTATCCGTTTTCAGCCTATCTCAGAACTTAGAAGAAGTTTGGTTTACTTTATATACATATCTTTACTACCTATATGTATCTATCCATACTTTATATATATCTTTCTATCTATATCTCCCGCTTTCTTTCCAAAATTGTTAAATAACGAATTTAATTAACATTTGTATGCCACATTTATGCACTGCAAACTTCATAAAGATCGGACTCCAAACGCCGAAGTTAATCGTGAATGCATTGGAAGAAGAAGCACAGCTTGTGACGTGCGTGTGTGTGTGCATGTGTGTGTGTGTATAGATAGATATAGATAGATAGGAAGCTGGAATGATTTTAACGGCAGCTTGACGCTGAGCTCAGGGTATCTGTTAGTCGGCTACTTCCGCATAGAGCACGCTTTGTATTTTTTCCTGTTTTTCACTTTTCACTTGTTATTATGGATTCATCTAGTTGATCAAAACGCTCGCATTGAGCACTCCATGTGGCACGTTTTGGCCCTGATGGCCCATTGGCCATGTGCAAAGCCAATGGCCAACACAAGACTCTAGGAAATTGTGGCTCTTCGCCGTCCCGTGCCGCACGCTCCGCTCTTGCCCGCTTTTGCTGCTGCATGCCTGATCTACGGCAAAGACAATCAATTGAGTTCAAAAATTCCATGCCGCATTGAACTCTGTGGCCTGAGGCGAGCGCACGGAAAAATTACAAAAAATATAACAACAAAAATTGCAAAGATATCAAAACAGAAACTCAAAAAGAAAACACACAAAATGTACAAAATTGGAAATGCCAATGAAATTCCAATGCGCGCACACAAGCACACACACACACACACGTAGACGATCTATAAGGAATGTATTTATATATATCCACATATACATCTAGAAGCTATACATATCCGACAGTGAGAAATCGGCAACTCTTGTAAGACATGTGTAAATATTTACGTTTCAATTGTGGCCGGGGGCGGCAAAATGACGTCGACGCCGACGTCGACGACCGACGCAAGAATTTTGGAATTTGGCATGCTTGAAGGACGCCTACTAGCTATACCCTGTACTCATTGAAAATGCGTACGACAAAAAAAGCAGGGTATTATGATTTTGGGCAAATATAGGTAACTGCATAGCTTCTAACAAGTTTTGCTTTTCAAATCAAAATCGACTGCTACAAAATCGATTAATTATCGATTTTCAGATTCGATTTATTGAGCATATATTATGTTCTTATCTTATGTAGGTCTCGTAAAGTCTACACAAATCCAGAATATTTCAAATTTTGGAGACAGTCTTCCAGGCCCTCCCTTTCCCCCATATAAACAAGAATGTTATGTGTTTCTGCCTTGAGTACATACACAAAATTGTATGGCATTTCGCGGGCCGGAAATTTCCATAGCGATCGGACTATAAACACCGAGGTCAAGGTGGAGCGCAATGCAGAGCTGGATACAGGGTATCTCCAGATCACCACTGCACGCTGCTTTATGGCATTGTTGTTGTGTACGTAACGATCCAAATCGAGTGGGCCGCATACGGTTTTTTTTTGGATTCGAATGATTCAGCTGGCGCCCGATGTGAATGCATTTCGCATTCAGAATTCGCTTGGTCTCGCCCAGATCCACTTGAGTAAGTCACAAGTCCTGAATTGCTCTGTTCCAGCATCAGAAACCATCTCATTGTTATTTAGTTCATAAAAACCAGACATTTTTCTGTTCTTATTCTTTCCTCTTTTTTGGTTAATCAGGGTGATTTTTCGATTTTCGTCGGGTCATTGAATCCCAATGTAGAGATTAAGAGATGTACTAAGTATTGACATTTTAAATGACAATGCGTTTCCTGACTATTTTCTCTACACCTATTTGCCTTAATGATAGATACTTTGGCATAAATGGACATTTGTTTCGCTCAGTGTATGTTTAGGCAAAATGAATGGGTCAACAACGAGATGTTAGGATAGCTGTGCACTAAAATAATATCGAATATTTATAATTATATTTATTCATATTTACGTTCGCCCTCTCCATTAGCTCTCTCGCTCATCCCTTTTGCAGGCGTTGCCAGCTGGACCAAAATGGCTGACGCGCTAGTGACGTCACAAATCATGGAAAAGTGTAAACATCTAAACACCCACTCATCCATTCCCCACCCCACAGCGTTGCCAGCCCGGACGTGGCGTCATAGTGGCCACATTTCTAGAGCTATTTTTAGTCGAATATTCTAAATTTGGACTCGCCATGTGTCAGATGATGCGAATAACAAAAAAGATAACAACAAGAACAAAACTTGAACTTGACATGGCCCAGATAACGCATAACCTTCTAGCGGCTGCTGCAGATAACGGGAACTTTGGCCAACGATTAAATGCACTCACTCAGTCGCAAATTGTCTCTGCTCCAAGGCGAAATGCTGTTCTGCCTGCCACTGGTCATCGCTGCCGTGTGCATTGTTCTGGCGCTGGCCACGCTCAGCTGGCTGCCATTGCGCCCGTGGCTGCGCCGGCGCCGTCGAGCCCACGAACTGGCCGCACTGCTGCCGGGACCGCGGACGCTGCCGTTGATCGGCAATTTCCATATGTTTCTGGGCTTGAAGCCGTCTCAGGTGCCCCAGCTGATTGCCGAACTGGCGGACAAATATGGCGGCACCTTCAAGCTCAAAATGGGCACCAATTTCAGCGTTATGATGTTCGAGCCGCGCGACGTCGAGACCGTGCTGGGCAGCACTCAGCTGCTGGACAAGGCCATTGAGTACAATTTCCTAAGGGGCTGGCTCAACGAGGGCCTCCTGGTCAGTCGTGGCCGCAAATGGCACAAGCGGCGCAAAATCATAACGCCCGCCTTCCACTTTCGCATACTGGATCAATATGTCGAGATCTTCGATAGGCAGACGCGTCTGCTTGTAAAGCACTTGGCCCAGGCTCGCGGCGATGGCGGCAATTCAGTCGAGCTGGGACATGCTGCGCATCTGTGCGCCCTGGATGTCATCTGTGGTGAGTATGAAATGCTGTTGATTTCTAAACGATCCTACCATGTCTTGTTATGGCTAAAGAGATTATAATGTTTATGTGCAGATGTGTGTTACAGGCAAACGGAAGCATCTCCCACTCTATAATGTGTATGAGCTCTTGATCAAGAGCACAAACTGAGTCCATCTAGTTATGTCTATCTGGCTGCCGCTCTCTTGGAGTTATTGAAATATAACTGTTTGACCGCGACCCAGACCCACTATCGATAATATGGGTACGCAGAGCTTGTTAACTCGTCACCGTCCAGCGATTGGGCAAAGTGCAGCCGGGCGGGCAGCTCGTAAAGATGCTCTCACAGCGATTAGATAGCCGGGGACTCGAGCAGTCACTAAGTGTGTCCGTGCCGATGCCAGTTTGTGGATAAGCAGCGATTAGATTTGTGTCCATAAATGCTGCTAATGTTGGCGCTGACCAAAATAGCAGCATACGGACAAGGGGTTTGGACTAGATACAGCTAATAATTGTTCTTTTGGGCTTAGTCTACAATTGCGTTTCGAGAGCTGCAGTGAAATGTTTCTAGCACTGGGTCTCCTCTTGGCCAGCGCCCTCTTTGTGGGCTTGCTCATCTATCAGCTGAAGTTCAAGCATCTCATCGAGGTGACTCGCGATTTGGCCAGCCCGCCTACGTGGCCTCTGTTGGGTCATGGCCATCATTTTATTGGCAAGGAGCCGCATGAGATGATTCAAACAGTTGTCGATTTCATGAGGCTCTATGCCAAGGATGAGACGCTCAAAGTGTGGCTGGGGCCAGAGCTGAACATGCTGATGGCCAATCCCAAAGATGTGGAGGTCGTGCTGGGCACACTTCGCTTCAATGACAAGGCCGGCGAGTACAAGGCCCTGGAGCCGTGGCTCAAGGAGGGTCTGCTCGTCAGTCGCGGCCGCAAATGGCACAAGCGCCGCAAGATCATAACGCCCGCCTTCCATTTCAAGATTCTCGAACAGTTTGTCGATATTTTTGAGCATGGGTCGCGTGTGCTTTTGCACAACTTGGATAAGGAACGCCAGCGGCAGGGCCAGACGGGTTTCAATCTATACGATTGGATCAATCTCTGCACCATGGACACTATTTGTGGTAGGTAAACGGCAGCAAAGGGCTCCCAACTAAGGCGGCATCTTCGACCCCAATCTTGGAAGTCCATCAGAGCTGGACTGTTCAAATTCTGAACGTAACTCCTTCTATGGCTCGTTGCAAATTATCGATAAATTGTCCCGTTGCCATGAAAGCGATAGAAATATGTATCGAAATACGAAATACTGCTATTTTAAGCTTCGAGATAGCTTATGAAAGTTAATTGAACTTTCTCGATACCTTCCCCCATGTATAGTCATGGGCTTTGGCATTTACACACATGCCATATTTATGCATTGAACATAATAGACGAAGATTAGTCCGAACTTAGTCACAAACGTACTTCCCATAGTGGGGCTAAGGGAAGAAGCTCGGTCTCATTATAATTTGATACCCCCCAATTTAATCCTATGCAATTTAAAGCAAGTAATACATACCTTTGATTTCAACTTGATCTCTTAATCTTTGAAACATCTTCCAATTTGTCCGCCTAGAAACCGCCATGGGCGTCTCCATCAATGCACAGACGAACGTGGACTCGGAGTATGTGCGTGCGGTGAAGACCATTTCGATGGTGCTCCACAAGCGCATGTTCAACATATTCTATCGGTTCGAGCTGACCTACATGCTGACGCCGCTGGCTCGGGCCGAGCGCCGAGCGTTGAATGTGCTTCACAACTTTACGGAGAAGATCATTGTGCAGCGGCGCGAGGAGCTGCTGCGTGCGAGCAATGCCGGCGAGCGGAGTGCACAGAGTCCAGACGATGCGGACGTGGGTGCGAAGCGTAAGATGGCCTTTCTGGACATATTGCTGCAGTCGAGCATTGATGACAAGCCGCTGACCAATATGGACATACGCGAGGAGGTAGACACATTTATGTTCGAGGGCCATGATACCACCTCCTCGGCCATTATGTTCTTCTTCTACAACATTGCCATGTATCCGGAATGCCAGCGCAAGTGTGTTGATGAGATCATCTCGGTGTTGGGCAGGGATAAGGAGACGCCCGTCACTTACGATCTGCTGAATAAGCTACACTATGTAGATCTGTGCATCAAGGAGACACTGCGCATGTATCCCTCGGTGCCACTGCTGGGACGCAAGGTGCTCGAAGAGTGCGAAATAAGTGAGCTATGGCATATGCACTACCAATCCTTCAAATACACTCATTCTTTCCATCTCCAAACAGATGGCAAGATCATTCCAGCCGGCACCAACATTGGCATTTCCCCTTTATATTTGGGCCGGCGCGAGGAGCTCTTTAGCGAACCGGACACATTCATACCGGAGCGTTTCGATGTTGTCACCAGCGCCGAGAAGCTCAATCCCTATGCCTATATACCCTTCTCGGCGGGGCCGCGCAATTGCATTGGCCAGAAGTTTGCCACACTGGAGATCAAGGCCATTGTGGCGAATGTGTTGCGGCACTTTGAAATTGAATTTGTGGGCAATACCGCAGAGCCGCCAGTGCTCATTGCTGAGCTGATCCTGCGCACCAAGGATCCACTCATGTTCAAGCTAAAGGAGCGCACTCTTTAATTGCATTTCTATATAAGACGCTCTCTTCTTCAGTTTGTTTTTTTTTCCCGTTAAAATATTGCAATAGAGATGTGTGTGTATATAATAAATACTGAAAACTATCGATTATTGAATAACTATCGTTAAGTGTTTATATTTAATATACTGATCGCGAAATATTTCAAATCGGGTTCAAAGTGGTTGAATAAAAAAACAGAAAGAAGGAATTATGAAACGCCATTGAAGAAGATATCTGACAAAAAAAAAGGACTGGACAAGAATATAAATTGATAAATCGAGGTGAGGCATTGGTTTGAGCCGTACACCGATAGAGCGAGATAGACTATGAGCTTCATATATAAAATTCAATTAGACGCAAGAAATATTTTGGTTGCATCAAAATATAAAGTTTTAATTCCTCACAAGACAGAAAAATGGGAATTGACCTAAATCAAAATACATATTGAAGTTAGCTTTGCCGCCCCATTTGTTTCAAAAAGTCTCGCATTCTTTTAGAATCGTTAGCAATTAGGAACTAAAACAAAAAATTTTTGAAACCCATTTTCAAATTGGCGAAAGCGAAGAAAATTAACAAAAAATATGGAGCGCTATCTGCAAATCGATAATAATGTCAACAAATCACTCCGACTCCGAGGGATCATCCTTGGTGACCTGATCATGAATGGCATAACAAAGTGTCTCCAGAAATGCTGGATCCATTTCGCGAATAATACTAAGTGCCGAACTAAGCAAATTTGAATTGCGGATCACGCGGCGCTGATCACTTTGCGGGCCATTGCTCGAATTGGATCTAGCACTGGAAAGTGCTGCCATACGCATATAGGGAGCCTGTTGGCGTGCAACGGCGTCGATTGCGTCCTTGCGCAGCTGGGCAACTACTGTGGCAGCAGCTGCTGCGGCAGCGGCTGTGGCAACTCGAACGTGTTGATGTGCATGCTCGTGCATTTGTTTCACCTGGCGGCGATGCTGCAGGTCATCGCCGTCCTTTGGGCGGCGTTGGTTCATGTAATCGTCCTTTGGACGGCGTGGAAGCGTTTGATCCGCCTGTGGACGGCGTTGATACATGTGTTCGTCCAGCAACTGACGCTGTTGCACGTTGTCCGCTGATCGGCGACGCTGCTTGGTCTCTTCTGCCAACAGGATGGGTTGCATGTTGTCGTCCGGTTTGCGGCGTGGTGTAATGTTGTCATCTGGCTCGCGACTTGGCAGAGTGTTATCGTTTTGTGGCCGCTTGTCTTTCGGCAGTCCTGGAGCACTGGGCACCAATGTTGTGGACTGTTCCTTGCGAGAGATGGGTGGCTGCGAGCTGGGTCGTAAGTTCACCTGTGTTTGCCGTTTCGGTGAGAGAAGCGGCATCGTCGGTGGCTCCTGCGGCGGAACTAGTTTGATTTCTGGCTCAGGATCGCGCAGCACTTTGTTTGGTTTAGCTGCGTTCAACATCTGCAGTTCCAGCTCAGATCGTTCACGTTCCATGCGAAGTGCTTTACTAGCAACGCGCTTGAACTTCTTCAGCGGCAAGGATTTGTTTCTGTTTGCCATGTTTGGGCTGTAAGTAAATTATATGTAAATTGAAGAGTTAAATATTTGTATGAGAGTTATTTCGCAACACACACACACACACGTATCTGAATATATGTCCTAATGCGAAGTAAATTTCAAAGTCATTTTTGAATAGAAACTGGATTCCTTTGGCCGATGCCAGCTGTTATCGATAGGCAGTTTTAAAAATGTTGATTGCGATACTATCGCCGCGACAATTTTGATAGCAAGCGAAAGCAAATCTATTGCGGCGCGCAAAAAGTTGGCTTCTAATAACGAAAGTGTTTGATATACAAACAAACATGTCGGACTTTGATGATAATGCGACTGGCTTCGATTTGGATATGCAATTGGAATACTCAGATCAGGATTTGGCACTGGTTGGGACTGAAACCAAACAGAAAAGCGAGGACATTCCTGAAATTACACAGTTAATGAAACAGTTTGCAGAGCTATGCCTAAAATATACGGTAAATACACATGCATACATACACAAACATACATATGTGGTGTTGAATTTAATACCTTCAAAAAAAAAAACATGCCTTCTGCAGGATTCGGATAATAATTGCGTACGTCAGTTGATAACTTATGATCAAAACATATCCTCAAAAATTCTGGAAGAAAAAATGCAACTTTTGTGCGGCCTAAATAATCCAGTAAGCATTAAATTGTACACAGTGGAACGAGTAGACAATATGCACAAGCATTTATTGCAACAATTTTACGATTTGTTCAACGATGAGAACGAATACGTCCGTGCATATGCCGCACACTGTGACCAGGCAATCAAGGCCAAAGAAGCGGCCGCCGTTCAAAACGAACACGACGAATATACCGAAATGGTTAGTTTAAATTTGAAATGTTTATTCAAACACTTATGTAAATTTCGGTTTAATTTTATCGACTAGCCGTATGTTCGTTTGATGGAATGCATAGCTAAACTGCAAAACCAACGAACTTCCATACATGCTGCCACTACGGATATTGTGGCCAAATATAAGTTGCGGCTCAAGGAAAGGGACATGATATATAGGTCCATTTTGGAAGAGACGGCAAGTCTTGAGAAATACGAGCTGGAGGCAATGTAAGTGCGACGCATATACATATACAATAATAGCTATTAACAATTTGAATTTTGGATACTCACTTATCTGCCATTACAGCGAGCTGCTCGAGCAGTTGGAGTTGGAAAAGTGTCCACGTGCGTTGAACCAGGAAACACAATTGAAATAATTTAATTCTATTACACTTTTTCACACACAATTTCAAAACTATATATCTCTATTTAATACATTAACAACATACACACATTTAAACTGACTTTGAAATATAACTGTTACTTTTATGTTAATTGAGTTCGGTGGCAACGCTGCTTCTGTCATCGCCGATGACAGTTAACTCAGCTGTTGCGATGTTATCGATAACATTTGGCACATTGCTCACTTGGTAGTAGATAATGCTCCGTTGGCCGTTGGGTTATTAGCTTTAATTGTGAAATCGGTTGTTAATTGTGGGTATGGACGAATCCTCGCGTCAACGCATCGAAGACTGGCACCTGCGCCCGCCAAGCGATGCGCGCACAACGTGAGTACATGATTCATGTAGGCAAAATGGGTTAGCTTCAATAATTCCATCTCTTCGAATGTGCAGGAATGTGCCGGCGGCGCCAAAATCAGCGCCGGATAACAAATCTCGCAAAACGGAATTGCACGTGCTGCGGTTGAGCGATGAGTCACAGCAGCTGACCATGGACACGTTGCGTGCCATACACGGTCCAGACTTTAAGCTGGACGATATTGGCAAATACAAGGATCGCGGACGCGGCGGTAAGGGCATTAAACATGCCTATTGGGAGGATCGCGGCACACTGCAGGTGCAAAGTGTTCAGGGCGTCAGTGGGGCCAGCAACACTGCCGATGATGACCGGATGCGTCGCTATGCGCTGCTCAAGCTGGAGAATTATGGTTTCCATCCCGTCCACTGTCTGGAGGCCTATGAGCATTGCTCTCACGATACGGAAGCGGCACTGCTACTGCTCTATAGACGCTATATGCGCGTGCCCAGCGATGAGAAGCCCGAGCTGGAGCCGCCCGATGAGTCCGCACTGCTGGACATGCGCGCCGACGAGAAGGAGGCGCTGCAATCCATCTACGATCGTGCGTACGAGGAGCGCGAATACAACAGCGTGTGGAATCTGAAGTTTAAGATCGAGCATCTGCTGGCACACAGCCCCTCGGAGGTGCGCAAGGCGCGCGAAGCGGCTCTCGCGGCGACAGCGGCCGCTCGTCAGGCGGTATTGGACAAAAAGAAAAAGGCGCCGCAACGTTGTCGCAATTTCGATCGTGATGGCACCTGTAAGTTTGGACCCAAATGCCGATTTGCGCATGTGCCGCCACAGCCGGAGGCGTCTGGGACGCCGGAGCGCAAGCGTGCTGAGAATCTGGATGAGAATGAAAACGAGCTGTGGTTCCATGTAGAGGTGCGCTTTCCACCCGGCAGCCGCTATCCCTACGAGGCGCCCTACATCTACCTGAAGACCACCTGTCACGATATACCGCATGAGCTGCGCCTGCGCTTTGCGCGCCATTTGTATCGTGAGGCGCGACAGATTTGCCGAGATGGCACACCCTGTGTTTACAGCGTCTGCGAGCTGCTGCAAACGGATGAGGGATTGGTCGGTAGTCTGGACACAGCACGTTTTCCCTCGCCCAAACGTTCGCTCTTTTTCGATGAGCCGACGAATGGCGCCGATTTGGATGCCAATTTGGAGGGTGCCGCAGCAGCCGCACGGCCCAGCCACTACGAGCGTGGCCAGACGGCGCGCAACGACGGCGGCGCCCATCAACGCAATGCCACGGAGCTGGCGCGCGAAAATCGCCGACTGCTGCAGCTGTTCAACGAGCGGCGTCGGGACGAACGCTATCACAAGCTGATCGAGGCCCGTCGCAAGTTGCCCGCCTTTGCCGAAATGGAGCGCATACTGGCGCTGATTGACAGCAACCAGGTGGTTGTCATTTCCGGTGAAACGGGCTGTGGCAAGAGCACCCAAGTGCCGCAGTTCATACTGGACAATTGGTTCTTTCGGGCAACACAGCTGCCGCCCAAATCGGATCTGCCGCATGTGGAGATTCTGTGCACACAGCCTCGCCGGATCTCGGCTATTGGTGTGGCGGAGCGTGTCGCCGCCGAGCGCTTGGATCGCATTGGCCAGCTGGTTGGCTACCAGATACGACTCGAGAACAAGATCTCGCCTAGCACACGCTTGAGCTTCTGCACAACGGGCATACTGCTGCGCCGGCTGGCCTCAGATCCCCTGCTGAGCAATGTCAGCCATGTCATTGTGGACGAGGTGCACGAACGGTCACAGGACTCGGACTTTCTGCTGCTCATACTCAAGAATATACTGCGGGAACGTAAGGATCTCAAAGTAATTCTCATGTCTGCCACGCTAAATGCGACTCTCTTCTCCGATTACTTTGGTGGTGCGCCCGTGCTGGATATACCGGGACGTACGTTTCCTGTGCAGCAGCTCTTTCTCGAGGACATACTGGACTCCTGTGATTTTGTGATGGAATGCGATACGAAATATTGTCGCAAGCTCAAAAAGAAGGAGCAGGATGTGTTGGAGCAATTGCTGGAATTTGCTGATATTCAGGCATCCAGCGAACCGCCTGGCCAAAAGATCAAAGACGAGAATCTTACACTGGCGGAGACATATTCCCGCTATGCGGGTAAGTTGTGCCACAAACCAAATCGATAGCTACTCAATTCCTGATTCATTGATAGACTACAGCAAGACGACGTGCAAGAGCATCTACCTCATGGAGCCCATGATGATTAATCCCGAGCTAATTGAATCCGTTCTCAAGTACATTGTGGAGGGCGAGCACGAATGGCCGCACGAGGGCAGCATACTCATCTTCTTGCCGGGCTTCCAGGAGATACAGACGGTGCACAATGCGCTGCTGGACAGCGCAATGTTTGGGCCGCGTGCTGGCAAATTTGTGCTGGTGCCGCTGCACTCGGCTCTTTCGAGCGAGGATCAGGCGCTGGTCTTTAAGCGTGCGCCGCCCGGCAAACGTAAAATTGTGCTCAGCACCAACATTGCCGAAACATCGGTCACCATTGATGACTGCGTCTTTGTGATCGACTGCGGCCTGATGAAGGAGAAGGGCTTTGATTCGAATCGCAATATGGAATCATTGGATCTGGTCTGGGTATCGCGCGCCAATGCCAAGCAGCGTAAGGGCCGTGCTGGACGTGTCATGCCCGGCGTCTGCATACATTTGTATACTGGCTTTCGGTATCAGCACCATATACTGGGGCAGCCGGTGCCAGAGATACAGCGTGTGCCGCTCGAGCAGATTGTGTTGCGAATCAAGACGCTGCAAACGTTCGCGTCGCGCAACACACTCGCCGTTTTGCTGGAGACACTGGAGGCACCCAAAGAGGACAGCGTGCTGGGCGCCTTGATGCGTTTACGTGATGTGGGCGCATTGGATGCCGAGGATCAGCTGACACCGTTGGGCCATCATTTGTCCGCCTTGCCCGTAGACGTGCGCATTGGCAAACTGATGCTGTACGGCGCCATCTTCCAGTGCCTGGACAGCGTGCTCACCATTGCCGCCTGCCTGAGCAATAAGTCGCCCTTTGTCAGTCCGCTGAACAAACGCGTCGAGGCCGACAAACGCAAGCGTCAATTTGCGCTCGATCACAGCGATCATTTGACCGTGCTCAATGCCTACCGCGTAAGTTGATAACAATCTGGTCAATATATATAGACTATATCTCAATTAAATGTCTTGGCCCATACACAGAAATGGCTCGTCGTGGCCAAGCGCGGCCACTATGGGGCCAGTCGGAATTATGCGAGTGAGAATTTTTTATCGATCAATACGCTGGAGACAATTGCGAACCTAAAGTATCAGTATCTGGAGCTGCTCGTCTCCATTGGTTTTGTGCCCATCAATGTGCCGCGCAAGCGACCCAATTCCAGCGACAATATACTTCAGTTAACAGGTGAGCTGTCCAGCTGGACGTTCCAATCTTACTCTCACAAATCTCATAATTTTCTCCCTTGCTGCCGCAGGCCACGAACAGAATGTGAACGGTGAGAACAATCGCCTGCTCACATCGCTGCTCTGCGCCGCCTTGTATCCGAACGTCGTCAAGATAATGACACCGGATCGCATCTATATACAGACCGCTGGTGGAGCTGTGCCACGCGAGCCGGGCCATCAGGATTTGCGCTTTAAGACGCGCGGCGATGGCTATGTGCGCATACATCCATCATCGGTCAACTCTCAGGTGGCCGTCTTCCAGGCACCGTTTCTTGTCTACCAGGAGAAGGTGTGCACTAGCTCCATTTATATACGCGACTGCTCCATGCTGCCATTGATTGCGCTTGTGCTCTTCGCTGGCTCCGATTTCAAAGTGGAACTCCATGACGGCGACTTTCTCTTTCTGCTCGAGAGCGGCTGGATCATATTGAAGGCGCACAATCACGAGACCGCCGAACTGGTCCAGTGTCTGCGCACCGAGCTGATCAAGCTGCTTGAGGAGAAGATACGTGATCCGTGCCTTAATTTGCTGCACCACAAGAACGGCTGCAAGATCATCGCCAACATAACCCATCTAATCAGCAACAATTACTGATGGCCGCTATTCACTCACAGCATGCTCATTGTTTTCGGCTTTTGCTTTTTTTTTGTATTTGTATTTGTATTTGTATTTGTATTTGCATTTGCATTTGTACAATTAGCCAAGTTAATACATAGCCAATTAAGCCAATTCATCGAGTCATTAACACCTGTTTGCAAATCATTTTTTATATTTTATATACAGGAGTACAATACAAATATATACAAATATACAAATATACAGTCGAATGTTTAACCAAAGTTTCTGGCGTCATTTTGTAAGGGTGCAGCCAATTTGGTTTGCTTTCCACGTTGTCTACAAAAACCAGAAAATTGTTTGGACTTGGCTTTCACTTAGGTCTCCCTGCATTAGCCACCGTTAAATTTGTGCATATATTTACTTTGACAATCCCTAAGCACATATTTAAACTAATTGAAATCTAATTGTGCCAAGTTTAGTTCATGGTAAGACCCTATGCCACGCCCTCAGGCTCAGTCCTGGGTTCTCGCAAAGGTGTTGGCTTGAGCCAACTTTGCATATTGAGGAAAATATACTTACAGACAGCTGAAATTCGCTATATAGACACAACTGTAGGTTCTCTTCAAGAATATATATATATATATATATATATGCAACAGAAAGGCAGACCTATGAAAACCTTTAGCCTTTATATTGAAGTTTTTTTTTGAAGTTCTTTTATGAACAACTTTTTGGTTTTTCAAGATATCTTAAGCCAAGCTCCATACGATCTCTATATACGAGCAACATTATATATATATACTATATCATAAAGTTACATAGGAAGAATCAGTCGAAAAATGAATAAAACTTTTTGTTTTTCAACATATCTTCAGTAAGCTCAGCAATTCCGAACTTCACAATTCTCCTCGTATGCCCTACTAGGGTAATCAATATTCGGCTTGCCTAAGTTATCTGTTTTTTCCTCTTTTAATATATTTACCTATCTTTTTTATCGAATTAACTTAGTGCTACATTTTTATTTATAATAATTTTTATAAGTAAATCTCTTCTTTTATTAATTTTTTATCATTTTTATAAACCGATCTCTTCATTTTTAAATTTTTAATAAAATGAAAGTTCTTTCTAATGGAAGTTCTTTTAGGAAGATAATTTTTGGAGCGTGTGTAAATGGAACTAAGAATTTTCTATGGATACGCTTTTTTTTTTATCAAATTTGACCTACTTCTAGAAATCTTAAATAATATTAGTTGCTATACTTTCGTAATTGCTTAATTAAATATACCTTAAGATTCCAAGGCATAGCAAAAAACCCAAAAATTTGTGATATCTTCCAAGATACTAGGACTTAAAACAGACCTCTCTAAAATTGTATTTGCTTTCCATCAGTCAATCGATTTTGATTTTGAGTTGTCGTCTTTTAGGCGCAGCTCAGACATCAAAACATCCAATTAATCATGTGTTGTACGTCCGACAAGAAGTTTGTACTCTATATATGAGTGTATTTATGTGTAGGTGTATTTAATATGAAACAGTGGCGGCAGGGGAACATCAAGCATACCTCGATCGATCTATAAATCAGGTGTGTGTGTCGCACTTAAAACTGAGTTGAAATTTCCCGGGCCCATCAATTACAATTCATTTGAATTTATTTAAATGCACTTGATTCGCTTTGGCGCGCTGGTTTTATTTGTTTATGTTGGTCTTTCTCATTTTTTTTTTAGCTGCTCGAAATGTTGATATCAACATCGATACATCAAAGTATCAAATGCACCTAATACGATAGTAATTTATTATACTTATCAATGATAAGCGTAAGAAATATGCGCTCAATGCAAATGAATCACAATTCAAATCAGAATTGGATTGCAAATTGTGAATATTTAAATTGAGCATAATGTTATTTTTAACAGCTCCAGTTCCAGTTCCAATTCCTGCTGCCCTGCGGCTTGTCAAATCTGATTGGAAAGCGGATGTTAACAGTTTGATTTCAGTTTTTAGCTTCCCCTTTTTATATTCGCTGTCATGCGTTCTCTTTCGCCACTTCTTCAACTCTATTTACTTGTTTTTTTTTTTTTTGTAATCTCAATTTCGCACTTCCTTTGCTGCATCTTTTAGCACCTCGTTGAGTTATTTGCACGCTCTGATTTCGGCTTATCGGTTTTGTGCCCTAACCCAAACGTATGCGGACTAAACGTTCGGAATGTGAAGCTTGTAACATATATGAGCCCATATTACTTGGCATTGTGCAACACTTAAGTGCTTTAGTAAAACTGATCTTATAAACAAAATCTATAAAATATATAATTATCTGTTTAAAATAGACAATTAAGAAAAATTAAAATATGTTTAATTATTGACCAAAAATTAAGCGTTCAGCGTTCAAGAAAAATAGAATATGTTGATTAAATGAGCTGCATTATTAGATATACTTAGTTATTGTTAGTAGCAATAAGGACATTATATAACGACTTTATATATCCAAATATATATTATAAGACCATGTCTGTGATATCTCTGTGATAACTCACAAGCTGCACCAACGAAACGAGTGTTCTTCTAAGGTTTCTTTCTAATAAACAAAAAATAGCTGACATACTCAATTGTTATTTTTATTTTCAATTTTTGAAGGGAAGTTCAGTCTGGGATATCTAATTTTTTTTTGCTATTCTACGTCAATTATTTCGATAAATTTCTAATCATGCGTCACATGGCACCTGAGAAACGTTTAAGAATTATTAATCATGTGGAATTTTTTTTGTGTATTTTTTGGGAAATACATTTCAGAAGATTTCTAAGGCATGGATATGCCGAGGTTTACGTAGGGCATTGCATGATGTTCCGGGCTGACCAATTGCCACCGTTCCGGTCGGCATCGGCAACGGCAACGGCGGCCGTTTGCTCTACTTTTTGTTGGTTCTATTTTGTTTCTTACACATGTTTATATATGTACATATATATTTGTTGCGGCTACCACTTAAGCGTGAGTTTTGTTTGTGAGCGCTAAGCTGACGCTGGCGTCGCTGCACGCTTTGGCAGCGGCGGTGGCGATGGCGGCGTCTGTTATCCAGTCGCCGAGTGCGAATGTGAATGTAAACTCTCGAGTGTTTATTATCAACACTATCTTTTGTTATAGATGTACTGTTGCTTCCACTTCTTTCTCCTTCTCTTCTGACTCCAGCTCTTGTTGTTGTTGTTGTTGTTGTTGTTGCTGCTGCTGCTACTGATGATGCATATACATACATACACACATACATATGTATACTGCTATATATGCATACGTATACGTTTACAGCTATCTGTGCTCAGGTCTTGGGCAAAAACTGAGTCAATAGATTAGACTCCGAGGGAAAGGGAAAATATAAAAAAAAAAAACAACGATGCGATAATTCAACTCGAATCATCAGTGTCATCAGTCTTATTATTGGCAGATGCAAACGGAATGAGCGCTGTGCACGCGGTGCACCAGGCACAGTGCTCACAGGCGCACTGAACCCGCTCTGAAAATCCCATTGGCGGGCTACGCATGCGCCAGTGCTGCCAGATCTAAAACTGATGACATATGTATGTATCATCATCATCATGTGATGAAAGCATTGGGTGGGTTGAATGGTGAAGGTGGGTCTTGGCGCTGCCGTTTAAAGTTTGCGCCTCCGTCGTAAAGCACTAAATCCGCAGACAAAACATTTGCGCTCCGACTGTTGCCGTGTTGTCTTTGTGCGCTGGTGTTGGTGTTGTTGTTGTTGTTGTTGCTGTTGTTGTTGATATTGTTGTGGGTGTGTTTGGGTTTGGCGTCGGCATCGGCATCGACGCGTCGACGCCATTTGGGCAGGGGGAGGCCCATGGCCCGGCGTACATGTAGTAGTAGTCCGGGCTCGCTGGTGGGTAAATTCACTGACAAATTTGCTGCCATGCCAGTGAAAATAACAACAAACACAACAACATCAAAAGAGCATAAGAACAATACAAAGCCGAAATCAATGCCTCACTGTGCACAGTGGTTGCTTGTTGTAAGCAGAGTGTATGAATGCTTCAAATTCGTAAAGCCCATTCAGCTCGAGTTGGAGAATGACGTACATTGATGGGTAAGAATATGAATGATTAATAAAGGTTTTTTTTACCAGGCTTGGGCTTGGATACAGAAATCTATACAAATAAATGATCTTTAAAAATCGCTTAATAATTATCGCCACACACACTGTATAAGAGAAGAAAGGCTAAAGCATACATTGGGGTAATTAAAAAAAAGGATTTTAATATTTGATTCTCTTAAATCAAAATTTCGTTGGAATGCATGTGCATATGACGTAAATTTGGATCAATGATTATTATACTATAATTTTTTGCACAAGATAAACTTTGTTTTATAATTAACACTAAACTAGGCCCCAACTTAAGATACGATGAGAGTACACACAATTCAAAGAACAATTTTCTGTTTCAGTTTTCAGTAACAAATATCACTATATACTTACACTCCGATTCTAAACCAAAATTAGTTATCCTTTACCATATATATAACAGGGGCTTACTAGTTTATAGCCACACACACCTTATCATTAACATTGAACCACTGTGCGATTGCTCTACTGCTGTTCGTTGGTAGCAAAACGTAAGTTCAGCATGCTCGTATTGCTGTTGTTAAACTAAGGCCATAGGGGGACGGGGGCAAAGGAGATGGCGAAAAAGTGCTCGCGATTTTCGTAGTTGTCTTTTGTCGATCGCCGATTTATTTATTTTGTTTCTCTTACATTTGTAGTAGTTAGTCGCAGTAGACAGCAGTAAGCCGTGCGATGGCTGAGCAGTTTGTGTGTGTATGTGTTTGTGTGTGTTTGTGTGTGGGTGTGCATGTCTGTGAGGGGTGAGGGGGGGGGGTATGGGTCGATGGGTCGGGGGTGTGAAGGGCAGGTCGGTGCTAGCTCGTCGCCGCTTGATACAAACCACTCACTCAAATCGAGTCCCCCTTGGATCGCAATTGTCACATTCCCCGATCGGATTCACACACGCGCACACTCAAAGCGGGCGCCTGTTGCTTTGGAAGGCGAATAGCTCGAATGTACTCCGAACGGGGTTTGAGCTACATATTTCGGCTCAAAGTGAGTGAGCAGCGGGATCAACAATTAAATGAAAAAAAAATCAAATCAAATAAAATAAAGTATAATAATAAAAATCTCACACATGGTTTACAAAGCGAAAGAGCGAAGGAGAGCGCAGGTGAGTGAGCGGTTAAGCGAGTGCACGAGTGCGTGTGTGTGTGCGTGTGTGTGTGTGTGTGTGTGTG